TACATATCATGTAGTACCACAGTGTCAAAATACAATTTATTTATGCTATTGCTAAAGGTATAATATATATTAAACCTTTTAAAACATAAAAGATAAAGAGTTAGCATTATCATTTACATGATTAGAACTGTTAATTATGTTGTAAATTTTACAGTTATATTGTTATGTTAAAATGTGTTAATTCACAAAATAACCATATAAGTATAAAACTACTAAATTATTCTACTTCAGATGCTACAGTACAATTTCACAGGATTTCTACATGTGTACAGCAACAACTGAGATTAATGTTAATATGTAACATCATGGAAGAGATTAGTGCAGCTTTAAAATGTGAAGTTGCAGCAAGAAAGTCACAGTTTACTAATTTTATCTACTGTTCTCTAACATCACTGCATCTCAGTTATCATTTATTTCCTTAAACACACCACATTTATGAGAAAACATTTTGAAAACATCGGATGATTGTGTCTCTTTCCTGAATTGCTAATAAAAGTTTACTCTGTCAAACAGCGCAGGTAAACTATTTTTTATTCTTAGATTTTATTGCACACTGTCTTCTGGTGCTGAGATGAACATGCAAGGTTTCATGTCACAGAAATGTTTAAATTCATCTCAGAGTTTCTGGGGAGACAAACCATTCTTCTAAATGTAATGTAAATGTAAGTTTGGTTGATGTGCATGTTTTTTTTTTTCAAAAGCAGCACAACTTTTTCTATGTGTTACTTGTATGTTTCATTTTAATTTATTAATGTAATTTCTTTTTTCAAATAATGCTAAAACGTCTAATAAATATATTATAGTGAAACTATAGATATACAACTCTGTATGGATGTTTGATTAGTTTATACAAGAGCAGAAGCATTAAATACTTCATACACTACAGAAAGAGGTCAAACTCAAACTGATGTCACTAATAACAAAAGATCAGGAAAACATTTTAATGTGACTGGTATGGTCATGCACTGTGCAGAACTGCAGATGAAACATCACTTGGTATATAATTATATATCCATTCTTCATCAAACGCATTAATCTTAAGTTAGTTAATCATAAGTTAGTAAGATATTGCTTGCATTTCATCTATCTGTGCCATACTGATTGTCTCAGTACAGGAGTTTCTGGATCCATTTTGCATTTTTGCACATAATGACCCATTTCCACATAGAAAAGTCAAAATCTAGTTCTAAATTAATACTGTCTGGTGTACAAGAAGCAAATTAAGTCTTATTCTAAATTAAAAAAAAGAGTTTTCTCTTGAAAAGGTTAATGAAGGTCCATGGCACTGTATTTATCTGTTTGCTGCTTCTGTATAACAGTATTAATGTTAGGGTCCTCTGTATTCAGTGCATACACAAACACAGGTGTACATATGCAAACACAGTCACACTGCATTGGGCCCTGTGTTGGCCCAGAGTTTTACTGGCTTAAATGTAAGAGTGAAGAATGTGATCAAGCCCAGATATATAAATAAATCCTTCAGGGGGAGATAATGAGAGCCATCCCTGCACAATGTAGACACAGGCCACTGTCATTCACTGCCACGGCAACACAAATTACACTCCACTCAGCCCTAATGCGGAGCAGGCCCACTTCTGCTGTGCTCACAGGGAAGCTTCACCAATGGAAGTGGCACAGCGCATAAAGCTGTGTATTTGTCAAAGCACTTACATGATATGATTTTTTGACTTGAAAACATATCGTTGGTAGAAATATGGCAAGAAGTGTTATCAAACTCGCAGACGTAGAATTTAAACTCCTCATGTCTTCCCAGTGTTTGCTGGAAGTGCGCTTGACGAAGGTGTTATGTGACTGAAATGCTGAAACATCTGGACTACTTTTTTCTTTTATAAATATATATTGGCATGCTAAACTGAAGAAAATTCAATTTGATTCTGTGTGGCCTGTGCACCTATAAAATAATGATTTGGACAGTTTTTTCTTATGCGCGCTGAGTTTGCTCTGGATTACTTAAAAAAAAAAATGAAGAAAGTGTCAGTGTGAAAGTGGGAGCAGTGTAGCAACAGAGAGTGTGTTTTGAACAGTGATCATGCCAATGAATGTGGGTATAGTACTGTGCACAAGTCAGAAATCATGTTTCATTTATTTAATTTCCAGTCAAATCAGCCATTAAGTACAAGTTATTCATTTTTCAGGAGATATTTCTGGAAAGATTAGACATAAAATACTTCCTTTGATCCTTCCACTGTGAGAAGACAACGCAGCGCTACGGGTCTGATGTTCAGCCATCAGGAATCCGATACTGAGAACAGGAAATAGACATCAAAAAAGAAAATTCGTCACTCAATGTGTCTGGGATCACACGGACTGTAAAAAACAGAAAATGCAACCAACTTCTAAGACTGAACTTTGGAGGTGTGAAAAAATGTCCCTGCAGATTTCTTTGAAAAACTGAAAGCAAGTCTCTTAAATAGAATGGAAGCTGTTACAAAGTCAAAGTGTGGACACTCTAATACTAATACTCCAATACTAAAAAAAGGATTTTTAGATGTTGAGGCTTCTGTATTATTTTCCTTTATGTTTTCTGCGAAAAATGGATAATGTGTACCTGATGGCCATTTTGGCTGGAATTTAAATTAATGAAGGGTGGTCTCTGACGTTCGCACACTACCTTAAGAGGTAAAAGAAGAAACTGTGTCAGTGTGAAAGTTGGAGCAGTACAGTATTTTGAATAGTGATCATGTCAATGAATGTGTGTATATGCTAATATGAATGATCACACAAGGCTCACATTCATCTGAACAAGTGGGGTTATTGCCCCACTATTCTGCACAGTCATAACAGTAAAGGTCATGTTGTGCATGGTGAGTGTGTGTATGTGTGTGTGTGTGTGTGTGTGCGCACAAATATAAGGCCTTATCCAAACCTCAGGCTCTTCTAAGTGAGTGGGGTCATTATTGTGCACAGTCATAACAGAAAAGGTCAAATTGTGCTCTGTATGTGTCTGTGTGTATGTACGGGTTTGCAAACCAACTGGTGGGAAAAACACATATTTGGTTTGTCCTGTACACTATTGCAAAGGTGTATTACTCATGAGTGAGCAACAGTGGGACTTCACATACACACACACACTCACATACTGTCAGTGCTGCATTGTTATTTTTTCCATCACAGTCGAACTGAAACTGCAGCTTCCTGCCATGCAATGCCAATATGTTCACACTTTGACTGAACTGATTAGAGAGAAGGTAGTGAACCTAATCATGTATACACACACACACACACACACACACACACACACACACACACACACTGTACATACACCTTTGTCAAATGGAGAAAAGATTACAGATCAATTTTCCCTTTCTTAAGTGAAAGAATATTTTGATACCTATTCAACAGATTTTTCAAATCTTTCATATACATACACACACACACACACATATATATATATATACACATGTGCTAACTGCCTATAATAACCATTCGGATTCTGGAGCTGTTGTTACATTTGCTTAGAATTTTTCTATCTCTGTGTTTTAATTATAACTAATTATAAGATGACTTACATTTTCCATATATATATATATATACACACACACACACACACACACACATACATATATATATATATATATATGTATGTATATTTTACACACACACATATGTGCCAATTGCCTATAATTACTATTCAGACTCTCGTTACATTTGCTTACATTTTTTGAAGGCATTCCATCTCTGTGTTTTAATTATAACTTTAAATGCCATGCAAACGTAATTTCATAGAACAGAGAGATAAAAGATTTGACGCTTCTTTGGCACATATTGAATCATCAATCTCATTTTCAAAGGGCGCAGAGATAGACAGCACCAGCTGACACAATATTACGCTTCCACCACAAATACTTTATGATACATCAGAGTTTCGCTGAATGCAAGACAGTAACTTTTACCAGTTTTTGGTGTAAAGCAGGCTTAACTGGAAAGATATGGCTATTATGATACGCAATTGTAAACCATCAAATAGACTGATCCTTTGTCACCAGAACTTTCACTTAGTATTTTGAATTTGGTCTTGCTCAGTGAAACAAGACGCTCCTCCAAATACAGGTGGTTTTAATGTCTTTCAGTTCTTCATTTTCAATTGTTCTTTAGCCCAAAAATACTTCACATCATTTGGAAAAATTATAATGAAGCAAGTCTGTGGGTGCCAGTCCATTCAAGTGTACATATAAATGTATTATAGCCATCTGATATGAATCATATGCTGCTTTTAATCAAGTTCCTCTAGGTCATTTCTGACTTTTTACAAAATAAGTGTAATAAAAACTCAATAAGTGGAATAAAAATGTAAGCCTGCAGGGCCAGCACACATAAAACCAAATGACTCATTATATTTTTTGCAACAAGGGGAGAATGCAAACAATTTTGCTAATTGTAATATCAAAACTGTTCTAAGTCCTAATTTTTACTCTTTTCTTCTGAAATCATTTTGTACACTTACTCCAGCATAATTCACATTTCTTTCTGCTAAATTTCTTTATCATCAAACACATTAGTCACGCCCCACAATCAAATAAAGCCATTAAACTATTGCTTTTATGCCACCTTACTGATTGTCCTAGTTTAGGAGTGTCTGGTTCAGTTTTGTATTTCTGTACATAATGGGCCAAATCAATATGAAAAAAGCTTATTAATACTCTGTCTGGTTTTTGAGAACCATATTAAGCCTAGGACTAAATTAAAAATAAAAAAAGTTGTCTCACACCATCTGTAGCATTTTATTTATCTGACACTGCCTCATCACTTTACGAATTTTATCAGTTTATGTTCATCATTACCAAGAATGCATTTTTCATTACTGCATGTACCTTAACATGAACAAATGTTAAAATCTTAAATGTCTGTCCTGCTGCAGTTGTAAGTTTCTGTTTGTGGTTAACGTTTTTCACTATACATAATACACATTTTTTCCCAACAGTAACACATCACATATTGTGGTGATCTCTCATTTCTCCGTTTCTCTCTCTCTATGGTAGTTGATACAGAGTGCTCTCTAGACTCTGAGGGAGAGGATGAGGGGTGTGTGTGGGGGACGGACACGCAGGATGAAAGAAACGGGCAACATAAGATGAGTGTGACGGCCAGCAAGGGCACAAAGCCCAGCAGCCCTGCTCGCTTCACCCGTGCCCACAGCCTGAGCCCTCCTGACGAGCATTGGGACGAGACCACTGCCCTCCCAACCACACCCGGGGAGACAGACCACACTGCACAGAGCATGTACAGTAAGTAGCTGTCATTCTTTTGAACAGATGTGTTCAAAGACAAAAAAAACATTGAATCAACGGACAGCACCCATAAGATTAGACTGAACTAAACGAAGTCAAAGAGATATAAAAAAAAAAAGTGTTCAAAAATGGCCAACAGGTCTTACTTTCCCCTCTCAGAAAAAGTGTACCTTTCAGGGTACATACATGGTCACTGATGTGCTACCTTGAAAGGAGCATAACTGTATCATATTCCACTGCAGTTATATTTTTTAAGTTTGACCAAATACATATACATACAGCCATTAGTCTAGATTGCTTGTTTTTTTATGACAAAAAACATAAGAAAAGGTACAAATATGCCTTTTAAGGTAGAAAGTTGGACCTTAAGGACCATGTTGTACTTTTCAGGGTTTGAGGTTGTAACTTGGAGGACTAAAATGGACCTGGACTGTAACCCCTTTTTTATCTGACAAGGCAGTCAGGCATTGCAAAACCCTGACATTGCAGGCTAATTATTATATTATTAAGCTTAAGATTTATCATTCAGTAATTACTATGAATTATTCAGTAACTACTATGAATTATTTGCTATGAACTGCTATGAACCTAATATGTAATGTATGTTGTTATGAGTTAACTAAAGTTTGGTCCCACATTCAAGTCTTTGAGAATTTAAGGGTTTAAGAATCTTCAAATTTTAGAGGAATACACTGACTTTTTGGTAAATCTGAGATTATTTCATATCCATGTTTGGCCCCTTGAACTGCAGGATTATTATTCAGCTATTTATCATAAGACTAAGATTATTCTATATAGAACTACTTTAAATTATTTACTAACTACAACAAAACTAATAATATGGGCCTTCATACAGTCCCTTGCAGTTTAATGGGTTAAGAGGTCATGCTAGCTTTGGTCTATATAGATGTCCATATTAAAAAGCCAAGGAAATATTAAAACTCGTGGATTGTGAAATACAAATTTGTTAGTTATGTTACATGACATCTTCCGCTCGAAAATAAAACTGAACTTATCCCATATTCTAAATCAAGCAGCACTATATGAGTTAGCTTTCATTTTACGCATACACATTAACCTCTGTGTTTAGTTATGATGAATTAAGTGTGATTATAATCATTGCAGTAGTCATGACTCTGTACCAGTTCTGAGAGTTCAGCAATTTCCAACGCCTCCGAGATATTAAAAATGATAATAGCCAAACCGTGGACGGAAATTGAAACCTCTTGCTAGCATTCAGATAACGCTGAAGTCACTGCAGTATGAAGGGCTCTTTTTGAAAACGTTGCCTCATCAAGCATGACAAAGGCCTGTCCCATCAAACAAGGTGACGTTCCCATTCTGAAATCAAAACTGAGCGTATAAGGCTTTCCTTTTATATTTATGGACATCAAAGACTTGCACGGCGTGCCTAGAAACATTAACTGCACTCTCTTTCTGTCTCTCTGATGAAGGAGAAACAAGTTTTTACTGCAATGAAGCACTCTGGCTCTTCTCTGGCCACATTAGAGAAAGCTGGAAATATGATGCCAACATCTGCAAACATTTGAAAAATCCTCCTCAAAGTCACAGCGCTGTGCTGGCATCTGTCCTTCTCTCTTTCTTTCTGTATTATTATCTGATGTTTTTCTTTTTTTGCTCTCTGGCTGTTATTGGTCTCATGGGAGAATCTCAGTAACATTTTCTTCATTGCAGTTTTCATCATTCCCATTATAGAGCCTTTAAAATTCCCTCCCTCCTTCTTTAGCAAAGATTGCACACACACACACACAATTCAGTTTTTTCCCTGTGATGTCTAATATTGTAGTACAGGTAATCCCAGCCTAATACTTAAGAATTGCGCTGAACAAACCTGCTTTGGCTCATAAGCTACTACTGCACCGTGCATAAGCTGAACTGTTGTAAAAGGTAAAATACATAGTGTCAGTTTAAAGAACCCCCATATAAACAATTAGCTTATATTATGTGTATATACAGAAAAAAATGTATATGTTTAGGTATGTATATATGTGTGTGTGTCTATATAGTCACTACTGCAATTGCACAAAGCAGGCGTCCCCCCAACACACAGGCATTATTGTTCTTAATGTTACAATATGGTAAGTGAAAGCTGGTCTTGGATTAGCATGAAAAGGCAACTTTTTCTTGGAGCAAGTACTATATTAGACAGCAAAACAGATGATGAACTAACACCACCACATCCTGTCTCTGCTCCCTCAGCGCAGAAAGATGCCCATGTGCTGGAGGACTGGGCTCGTTATGACTTCCTCATGCAGCTGAGAAAAGAGACCCACCTTCCCCGTTCACGACACAACCAACAGATCAACGGCTCCATGACCTCCTACAACACTGGTGCTATGCAGGAAGAAACATCATCCACCCTGTCGCCAGGCGTTGAGGAGTCACCTGACAGAAAAGGTATCTTTCTAACATGCATGGAGGCTTGGGTCTGGAAAAACATACTTTCTGATTTTTTTGTTTGTATATTGTCATTGATATGTTAAGGGAGTAGTTTGGCAAAAAAAAGAAAACAAATTTGCTCAATTTTCCCCTAACCTAAAGGTAGTCAATTTTTGCTGTCCACATCTTTAGTTTGCTTCTTTAGTTTTACAATGAAGCTACAAGGATAAGGTAGTAGTGGAAGTTTGTTACCAAAAATTAGCATCGTACAAACTGCAGGCCTAAATCATCAACATTTAAAACGTAACATTTTCCTCAAACACATTGTTAAGCAATCTCTCACAGATTTGCCTATGTGGTTCCTGAAACTGTATACTGTAATCTATAAAATCTCACAGTGATAACCAAAATGGACAAAAAATGGACAAAATGTGAAAAAAAAGACTTCACTGTCGGTAACCAATTATCTCCTCATGGTCAGCAGATGCAGACCCCGTGAGCCCTGATCCCACACGGACAGCAGTGCAGATGTGCCCATTTTGCCAACGGTCATATCGGTGTGAGACATCTCTTAGAGAACACATGAAGTTGTGCCAGGAGAGGGAAGGAGGACACGGCGTGTGCCGACTCTATGGGTACAGCACTCCCTACAGGGCACAGATGGAGCGGCACCTGGCACTGCATGCGCAGACTCAGGACAAGGTGGGGGCTACCAAATGTATTCTTAACTTTCTAAAACATCAGAATTATTCAACTAAGCATAGAACCAATCACTCAAAACCAGCCAACCCCAGCACACAAACCACAAACCAGCACCCAGATGAAGGCCTACGCCAAACACACTGGGTTGGCCAAACTGTCTACATCGATGATACAGTAAAGGCTTTCTAGAAAAGTGCAATGGATATTCATTTTTGTACCAAATACACCGACTTGACGTCCTGTTGTGTGTCTGTGTTCCAGAATCCAGCGTCTGGTCCCACCATGGAAAGCAGGAAGTTTAAATGTACACAATGTGGGAAAGCCTTTAAATACAAACATCATCTCAAAGAGCACCTACGCATTCATAGTGGTAAGTGATTCTTTCTTTCTATCGTTCTACTTCATGAATTCAGCTGAAGTCTAAGTAGGCTGGTACATAAACAGAAATAGAAACTTGTTAGTTCTCTCCTTGAAACTATAATTACTAAATCATGTTTCTCAATTCAGGTTGTTGTACCACTACTCTGCATAATTTAGTATTTTCCCTACTAAGGAACCAATTTAGTTCAGAAAAGGTTTGTTAATGAGCAGAAAAGCTGAATAATGTTTGTTGTGAGCATGGAAAAGAAAAATGGGCATGGCAGCAGTACTCCAGGACCACAACTGAGAAACACTGCTTTACACCATTTCATAGCATTTCAAATTCTTAGTAATATTCTGCACATGAACACATGCGTGTGTAATTAAAAGGGGTGTAAAATGCACCAAAGCAGCAAAATGCACTGTTCTGAATGTGGTGATACAATGGCATATGTTATGTAAACTTAGAATTGATTGTAATCGAATATTGTATCACTCACTAAAGTATGCCCTCATTTATTAGCAAAATAAAACTATCAAGCTATTCTCATAAAATAAAAAGAGCATCTGTTGTTTTGTTTTTATTGTTTATAACCAAGTACTGAGTACACAAGCTGTGTCTGAAATGTCTGAAATGGCAGCAAGGCACACAGCCATGTCAGAATCTAATATGTGTATGCCTGATAAGGTTCCTCAGTTCAGCTGTTTTTTGAAGGCAGTGTAGATGAATCTTTCACTGCCTTACATACCTCATAACCCTGTGTCCTCTCTGATGCAGTTAGAAAAAAAAAGAAAACACCAGCACTGATACTCTGGACAACACCAGCACAATAACTGTGAATTCTCCCCAAAGTATCATATCAAATCGCGGTGAAATTTGAGATTTCATGATGCGTTAAAACATCTAATAAAGAATCGTAGTCAAATCTAATCATTGTGAGGTCATAGATTTCCATCCTTGATGATATTTTGCATCATCAACCTTTAGTAAATCGTGCTGTTTTTGCCTTGGCAGGTGAGAAGCCCTACGAGTGTTCCAACTGTAAGAAGCGTTTCAGTCACTCAGGCTCCTACAGTTCACACCTTAGCAGTAAGAAGTGCCTCAGTGGGGGTGGGTCAGGGAACGGAGCATATTTTAATGGTCACTCCCATCCCGCCTACCTCTTCCCCTCCCCTACGTCGCCCCCTGGAGTTGGAAGCAGGAACACAAGCAGAGGAAAAAGCTCTCCTTATGGCCCGCTAAGCCAGTGCTTCACAGAGCAGCTGCCCACTCAGGGACAGGAACCCATTACCTCTACGCTACGAGCTCCACAGGGGTGGTCAGGAGTGTTTAAAGGGACCACTCTTTTGCCCTTGCTGCATTCCGGCGGAAAGTTTGAACACCTTCTGCAGGAAATGCTGAGAAAGGAGGTAGGGAAAGAGGATCAGCGAGGGAAGGAAGAAGGAGAGGAGGAAGAAGAAAGAGAGAGGAGAAGTGAGATATCTGTTGGTGCCGTGTCGTGCCAGTGGTGCTTGCAGATTTTCCCGAATGAGGTAGTTCTGAAGCAGCACGAAAGATATCTGTGCAGGAACAACGACGGACACAATGCTGAACAGTTGCATTCCCGCAGAGAAGGATCACCACTCAACTTCTCTCGCTCCTCACAGGTCCCTCACGACATCCAGAAAACACCATCCACCCCAAATGGACTGCCTAGAGATCTCTCTTCCCCTCACAGGGCATCCTGGCACTCCGTCCCACAGCAAATCCTCGTGCCACTACAGTCATCTGTGCACCTCCGCCTAGATCTTGGACACCACTATTGGCCGAACAAAGAAACCAGCAGTCCCAGAAACTCTACTCTTATGAGTCCCACCTCACCTTCACTACAAGAACGCCGACACCCACTCTCCTCAGGTTTCAGCTCCCCACCCTGCCTCGACCTGTCAGTCACCACGTCACCATGTCGAACCACCCAACACAGGCCGTCCCCCAGATCGGAGGGTTGCCAGAGCGAGCCCTTAGACCTCTCCATTCCCAAAACTCGCACACGCTCCAGGGAGGCCAAAGAAGGAGCTTGCAACGGCAGTTCTCCCCAGACAGAGCGGAGGGATGTGGAGAGCGTGTTTAGGAGGTTAACTCCACCTTCTCAGCACCAAGCGAGTGGGGGCTATACGCCATTACTCGGTAGTGCAGTTTTCAGCAGGTTTCCCCTTTTCAATCCTGTCATCCCAAGTTGCCTCGCAGGGATGGGGCATAACGGTCTTACGTCGCTTCCTCTTACACCACCAGCCCCCAGCCCCGGATTTCTCTCGCCTATGACATATATGCTGGAGGCGGAGTCAGAGGCAATGAGGAAAAGAATACAGCAGGAAACAAATGCCATGGTGAGAACACAGTCTTGTTCAGCAAAAATGCAACAACTTAAAAATACAACAAGATCATACAAAATGTACTCAATGAAGACATGTTCTCAAGAATGCACGAGTAGGAGTTTGATACATCCCCACAAGTCCCCTCACATTGGGCTGATGCTAATTCTTTACGCTTTGACTGCTCCCAAGACCTCAGAATCATGCATACTGGTGTTCTACAGCCCTAACTGTCAAGCGCTTTACAGAACAAAATTAATGGTTTCCTTTATATATCCTCTATAATCTATTTTGGGAACTTTTTATGTAACCAATCACATATATTTACACAATATTAAAATTTGAATGTTTCCTCTAGTTTCATTCTGAAACCCAGTCATGATTCTTTACTTGGCGTGTAACAGTTAAATTAGTTTGTACTGTGACAAAGAGCGATGTTCCCTTCTGAGTAATAAAATAAGCATTTAAGCTCGCTCTCAGTTCAAGTCAGGGGTCCGTTATTCCAGAGTAGATCATATTGCAAAGACAATGAACTCATTTTTAGTACTACTCTATAAATCATAACAGACCCTCATTCGTTGTCTCTTAACCCTATGTAGGTGTCTTCTGATGCATTTGCTTCCCCTGTTGCTGCTGTAAACAAGCATATTACTCAGAGGGGAATTCCGGCCTCCACATACATAAAGGGCAGATAATGCAAGCCTGTTTACACACTGTTGTGTTCTGAGTTCAGTTACAAATTCTCAAAGTTCACAGTCATATCCTGACTTCACAAATAAAATGGAGGATATATTGTATGCACTGTACAACATTTACAACAGATATTACTCACATTACCTGTCAAACAACTCAAAATTCAAGTTGCACATCTCAATTAACAAAATGAATCTCTGTCTCTTAGGGTGAACCACTAAATCGGGCATGTCTGGACTACTTCTCTCTGATGGAGGAGGGATTAGATGGTGATAATGGGCCAGGGAGAAAGAGACTGAGGAAGACAGAGGAAGGACTATATGCTTGTGACATCTGTGACAAAAGTTTCCAGAAGAGCAGCTCTCTGCTGCGCCACAAATATGAACACACAGGTACAGACACCACAACACTGTCTCATATGATAACACTGATCATTATATGAAACATATCTATACAGAGAAACTAATTTAGAAAAAGTCCTTAATTTTGTTAGTGTGTTAATATTATTGGTATAGATATTATTATTATACCACTAACAGTGATAGTGAGTTTAATAGTGAAAATAAATTAGACAACTGATCGTGCCTTCTCTTTCAGGGAAGCGTCCCCATGAGTGCCAGATCTGTAAAAAAGCATTTAAACACAAGCACCATTTGATCGAACACAGCCGGCTGCACTCTGGAGAAAAGCCCTACCAATGTGATAAGTGTGGGAAACGTTTCTCTCACTCAGGCTCCTACTCACAGCACATGAACCACCGCTATGCTTTCTGCAGTCGAGACCATGACACAGACGGCCCTGGAGAGGAGCTTGTGATGGGGGATGTGGCCCTCTACCCAAGCCCACGCAGGGAGCTTAATCCTGAAGCAGAAGAAGCTCCTCTCAGCTTGGAGGAGACAGCCACAATCCTCAGCGATTCCAGTCTGGACGGCGCTCCGTTAGGCCTAAGAGTGGAGGATGAGGAAGAGGAGAGCTCACTCAGTAACCATGCCCACGAGAGAAGAGTGGAGAGAAGAACAGGGACAGAGGAGAGGAGTGGAAGCCTGGAACAGACAAGTGAAGAAAGCGAGGAGAAGAAGGAAGAAGAAAGTTCAGGGGATGAAGGACAGGACACAAAAAAGACTCATCACTGCAATAAAATTAAAGTAGAGCAGAATGGAGATGAAGATAGCAACAGGCAAGAGATGGATATAGCGAAAGTATGAAACTGCTGGATGTGAAAAATAACATTTCAGCTTTAAGTTGACTTACCAAAGATGTGAACATGCACATATGGATTGCACTGCACAGTGGAAAGAAGAATTCAGTACCTTCTCCCATGAGTGCTAAGAGGCCCATCTCATGTTGGACAGTATGGAGGACACAGTGAAGACAGTGAATAAAAACAAACAAGTGCCTTTAGATCTATGCCAATGCAAAATGTTATTCAAAACCATGCAAAACATCCATGCCATTACAATCAATACAGTAACATGCAAGGGCTGCACTGTGTATTTGCTGATTTCTACATACTGTGTCCACAAAGCACTGTTGACCCCTACAGATCACTCAAAGATGCAAAACTGTGAACCAGTCAGTTTCAGATTACATTAGTAACGGGTTATGCAACTAATATTTAAAATCTATCTTCTATGATCTTCTATCTAATTACAGGCACAGATATGAAAATACAAGATCATGTTTTTTTTTCTTTTTTATGTATGGCGTAGCCCAAGCCCAAGTAAAAACTCTAAATACAAGAACTGTTTCTATTTTTTTCTTTACTTTTTTCCCTGCAAGCCATTCACCACTGAGTGAGCTGATAAGAGACCAGCCGCTGAGCTTCTATAGTTTTCACTATTTTAATTATGTTAACTTTGAACAAACTTATAAAGTTAATTGATGTCTTTGTCTGTATTGCCAAAACATTAAAGCGATAACTTAGTGCCAGACATGAATGTTAGCTCATCTAACATTTCATGAGCTTTATGCATTAAAAATACAACAGAATCTATAAGAATTTGCACTCTTTAATGTCAGTTTGTGTGTGCTGTCTGTGCTTGCAGTAATATTGTCATTGACTTTGAAAATCAAAAAACGCAGTATTATTGAGAAGTATTAGTACATAAGGAGACAAAAAGACAACTAAAAAGGGAAGAAAGAGATAAAGAAACAATCAAAGAAAGAAAAGAAATAAAAGATCCTAACAATGTATTTTCAAAACGTGCTACACATGAGAATCATGCACAATGTTACATACTGCACTGAGCAAGACCACAGAAACACTCTGAGACAGATTACCCTACATTACAGCTTACTATGGCGTGCTGCTGCTTAACCATGCAACAGTTGAGCTAACAGCATTGCATCTGTAGCATTCAAATGGGATATGGTGCTTTTATTCAGGTTTGGCTTCAGTTTCATAATCTTTTATACTTGTTTATATAAACTCAGTGTTTACCTGTTAACATGAAAATGTTACCAAATGTATATCCTTTTAAGCTATTTGAATAATGTGTCTATTTTGCATCAGTGTTACTTTTATACAGAATCAGTTAAGCTTTTTGTACCTTTCTACAGGCCTGATTGTTTGCGCATACACTTAGTTTGTAGTCTAATAAAGCTGTACATACCAAACCTTGTGTTTTTACTCATAGACTAACAAGAGAAATAGTCAGTATTGACCATTCTCAAATAAGAGTTCTTTCTGTTAATGTTTAAAAATTCACAACGCTGCCTAAAGCTTTTGTAGTGACATAAGCTAACTACAGTCTACAAAAATAGCATAAGAGTATGTCTCATCTCCTTCCCCGATGTGTACGGAGGTCCCCCTTAGCAGTCTGAGTCAAATGTGGACTTTAGGCTGTCCCGAAACTGCCTACACTACACAAATTAATAACAAAAGGGAAGTTGATTTTACACTTGCCCACCACTGTGTCCGTCCTGGCTTAATAACAGAACATTATGACGTTTGTGAAATGTATAGAGGACGAGGAGAGCCTTGTAATAAGTAAATCGGCAGTCAGTAAAACTATAAATTTATCTAGAAATGAAAAACTGAAACAGCAATACATCAAACAATGAATAAAAAAAAATCAACTAATAAAAAAAACACTTGAAAATAGTAAATTGGATAAGGCAACCTAATCAATAAAAACATATGATGAAGAAACTGGAAACAAAAATTACTGTTTTAATAAACCTGTGTGCAAATGATCAGGTTAAATTCTTCTTGAGGTAAAACACATCCCCATCTTGACAAACACATCTCAACCAACAGTTATTTATATACCAAACCACCAAATGTCAAAGTTTCTCTTCAACAGATACTAACCTGAGTCAGCCGAAAATATTTGTCGACGCATCTCATCTCATCTCATCTCAATAAACAACCCACCTAAACGCTTCAGGTGTCACAAACAGAACAGGCAGATATTTCTGGAAGTTAACAATTTCACTGAAATAGTGTTATAGTATCTACCACATTAAATTGAGAATTTAAGACTGGAATATGCGCTCAGTAACATTTCTAAATTTGCTGTTACTAATTACATAAAAAATGAATGTAACTGAAACTTAAGCTTCATGTATTCCAGTACTGTGTATTTTCCGTTTTTCAAACCTTACTGACAGACACTTCTCCCTTCATTACTTCTCCAGGAAGCTGTCCATAAAATCCCACAAAATGGATGCAAATAACTCCATTATTTGTAGTTAAAGCAAATTCATGCTAAGAAACGCCCATCACACGCGACAACTGAACTTAGCAATTTAGCTTGCTAGCAAGTCACACTGGAGAATGACCCCAGTGCGACTTGCCAGCAAGTGTTTTTGGGGGAAATAAGCATTTTGATTATCTCAAATTGACACCTAGTTTTGTGCTGAGTGAATTTCTACAGAACCGAAACTGGCTTATCTCATTACGTTTAAAAAGGGATTTACTTGAACCTCAACATGCTGACTGGCAAACAATTTAACAGCCAACAAAGATCTGACAGCATATTACACATATAGACATGTAGCACTAGTAACCATATTATTTTAGCTAATTCCTTAATCAAAAAATCAGCTTTTAGTTTGCTAATAGGTAGCTAGTTAGTTTGTTCTCTGTTTTGCAGCAATTATTATCTGGCAACTTTATCACATTAGCTTTGAGTACTGCTTAGGCCTACCACAATCCAAAAAAAATAGCTGAGAATAAACTCTCATACTCATAATGTGAATATATTGTGATCAACATATTTTTTGCTACACTTACACTGTAAGGCTACTATTACAGTCAGAGGTTTTGTTTTATTGATAATAGTTCCATATTGAACTTGAGCATTATTACTAATCATAATCATCTGAAAAAAAAAAGATTATTTTATAAGATTTGTTCTTTAGTCAATCATTGTTAACATTTAATACCTTCACTCATACTCAGTTACATTTCCAAGAGGAAAAAAAACACTTTTCACCTCTTACATCTTCATGTAGACCTTTAAAGTACTAATCGCTTTAAAGGAAAATGAAAAATTCGACAGGTAATGAGATTTTTCTTTTTTCAAAAAGTTTACTCTTGCCAATCAGTCGGGATGTTTTAGTTTTGTTTTTTAGTAAAACATCCAACCAAAACCACGTCAACATAAAATGAAACTGTCCATGACTTTGCTAGTCACTCTTTGTACAAGGACTTGTACCGTCTTCATTAGTTTCCACATCACACACCACAAAAAAGAATGCTTGTCTTGACTATTCGTTTAGTTTTATTTAACCATTTACTATTACACTAACCTTTATATAGTGCAGTGTGTTTCGGTGTAGATACATTTTGACTCAAGTATACATTTAGCTCCATACTTCCACTTTTAACTGAGTAAGATTTTGAATACACATGCTTTCACTCAGGTATGCACTAGTTTATCTGTATTTTCCACCGATTAGTAAGTCAACCTGCCCAAGGCGTCTTATCTTATGAACTGTTAACCACAGTGGTTTATTGTACTAACCTGGAATGACCTCCTGTGATACTCTGCGTAAACACACTCCACACAAATGCCTAAAATTAAACAGAATACTGTAGACTCAAGAAAGGCTTCTCTCAAAAATGGAAATGTGTGAAATGGCTAATTAGGTTCACTAGCTCGCTTGCTAGCTAACTAACTAGCTTAGTTAACTAACACTAAGCTGTAGTAACACATAAACACTGCACTGTTCTGTGCGCACAGTCTCACAACGTTTAATATATAATTACACAGAATCACGTGTAGAGCCTAGCAAAACTTATATTTTCTCCCAAGAGTATTAAATATGTGAGCAAGGGCTCCCATTCTGCTATTAAATTAGCTAGCATTAGACACCTAGCCAGCTAGCTAAGTCAAACTTTCCTCAGCGAAATCTCAACAATTTATAGCAAGTGATAATTCTAAAAATAGTAATCGACATACTGTTCTATGCTGCATTCTGCTGTACTTATTACTCATGTGCTTGGTAACTTAATCCTCACCTGGAAGAATAAAACATTTAGGTTAGCATTTAGCTTCAAAAACAGAGGAGAACTTCCAACTGACAACAGGCACCTCACGAGCTCACAGAGCTTCAGCACCTCTCGCGGCTTGTTATGCACTTTAAGTAAGTCCTTGCGTTGTTTTCGATGTAAACACAAGATTGAGAAATATATTTTAGCGTGTTCAACAAATGCTTACATGTTAGCTGTAGGTTGTTCCTCAGCATTTATTTATTGGGTTTATTTGGCTAAGGACTCTTCTTGTGGAGGGCGGGGCTGGAGCCGCCCCTGAGTGTGCCTGAGCTGCGAGACAGGAGACGTGAGCTGGGTATAACCAGCTGTTAGAGAAGAGAAAACAGTGCGTATGAATGGTGTAGGAAGGTCAACAACATCTGGATAACAAAGCATCATGACTTGTGCGAAAGCTGTGTCTCTTTTAGTAGCGGTAACGCTACAAGAATGATGGTGAAAAACAGTAAGAAGACAGGTGATGTAAAAGTAGTATCTTCTAACTTAAAAGCAGTGAAATTAAATCCACTAATTTGCACTTTTAATTTATTCCATGAAAAGAGTGGCATGTCCGCAACATTAAATAAGAGACAACAATCAGCTAAGTGTCTTTTTTAAGCCTTTATATGTTGAACTTGGAATGCAGATGCTTAATTTCAACTCTGTACATATACAACCCCATTTCCAAAAAAGTTGGGACATTTTGCCAAAACATGTATATATTGTTCAGCATTAATGGCACCTTCACAGATGTGCTAGTCACCCATGCCATGTGCACTAATGCACCCCTATACCATCATGAATACTGGGTTTTGAACTGTGTACTGATAACAAGCTGAGTGGTCTTTAGCCCGAAGGACACAGTGTCCATGATTTCCAAAAAGAAATTCAAATGTTGATTCGTCAGACCACAGGACACTTTTCCACTTCCCCTCAGTCCATTTTTAAATGAGTTCGGGTCCATAGAAGGTGACAGTGCTTCTGGATAATGTTTATATATGGTTTCTTCTTTGCATTTAAGAGTTTTAATTAGTATTTGTGGATGCAGTGATGAACTCTTTTCACAGACAGTGGTTTTCAGAAGTGTTCCTGAGCCCATGCAGTGATTTAAACTACAGAATCATGCCTGTTTTTAATGCAGTGCCATTTGAGGGCCCGAAGATCACAGCCCTCAAATACTGTTTTTTTTGGTCTTGTCCCTTTGCATACAGAGATTTCTCCAGATTCTCTGAATCTTTTAATGATATTATGTACCATAGATGATGAAAAGCAAAAGTTCTTTGCTACTTTATGGTGAGAAACGTTATTCTTGAATTGTTGCATTTGATCGTGCAGTCTTTCCAGAGTGATTAACCCGTCCTCATCTTTGCTTCTGAAAGACTCAGCCTCGGTGGGATGCTCTTTTTATACCCAATCATGTTACTGACCTGTTGCCAATTAACCACCAGGTTTTTTTTAAGCATTACACAACTTTACCAGCCTTTTGTTGCCCCCATCCCAACTTCTTTGGAACATGTTGCTGGCAAAAAAAAAAATCTTAGTTTCAACATTTGATATGTTGCCTTTGAAGCATTTACAATGAATTATATATATATATATATATATATATATATATATACATATATATACACAACCCCATGTGTGTGTGTGTGTGTGTGAGTGTGCGTGAGTGTGCGTTAGGATATAGTGTCAGTATAGTTATTTAAACAGACCATTTCAAGACTGTAATTTTATTTGTGGCAGTTTTTTTTTCAAAAGAAGTTCATGACCCCATCAATGAACACATGCTCACTGAAACCACTGAAAGAAAATACGGCGCCCGACTTTGATTTTTCCACCACTGTGCGTTAAGTATGCTTAGTTCAGTCTGGTTGGAGTTCTTCTCCAGGCTTTCTCCACGCAAAGAGTTTACCACCATCTCTGAAACAAAGTAACAAAAATAATTTTGTTAAATCATTTATGAACTAAACTGAAGAACTCCATTACAGTGCACTAGCAGTTTACTAAGTGTCTTAATACTTTTGGGGCCACTGTATAAGAATACATGTTTACATGTTTGTATACCTGTGAGTCATTGAAGGTCCATTTGAAATATTACTAAATAAAAGTTGCCCTTTTGCCATGCTCAAATGCATGTCTGCTTCCACTGCAAAAAAAAACATTCATTTTAAGCAAAATATAATAATTCATGTGTCCTAATGTTTTGCAACCCCCTCCATCCTCCCAGACACCAACACAGAGCCATTAAAGTTTTCTTCAACTTTGTTGTTTTCTCTATCTTTGACAGGGCCCGTCAAGCCTATTATGTCCAACCCATTAAACAAAAAAATAGAGAAAACAGTTTTGTATAAAATGTTTTGAATTAACTACAGTCAAATACTTTATTGTCGAAAAATGGACGTTAGAAGTTCTAATCTTGATAACAGGGAGCGTGGCAGCCTGTTGAGCCTGAAATATTCCATCCTGTCACATTCCCCTCCAGCACAATTGTACCTCTCAGTGTATTTGGCACAAAATAATAAATATGGCTTCTCAGGTGGAAACATCTGTTTTTGGTAAGTGCAATATGCAATTTAAACAAGGAGAACTAGACCGAGTTTTTAATTTTTAATTTTTCTGCATAATGATGTAAACAAAGCTGTGGTGGTGATAGGAACCAGTGGTCACAATGTCTACAATGCAGCTATCCAAAACCACCAGTGAAAACTACCACAAAACAGCTTATCATGTGATGGAGCTTTTAGAGGCATTAAACTCTTCAGATGTCTGGTGCTTATCACCACCACTGTGAACAATTCTTTCTCTACAACAGAGCATTTCACATCAAAGCACTCTGAATGACTTTATTTACATCTTAACTATTTAATTATGCAGATTTTTTTTTTTAAAAATTGTGGAATTTCCCTTTGAAAAGAACAATTTCAAATCATGTCCCATAAATGTCTATTTGGTGCTATCTGAACTAAGCCCTCTAAAAAGCCTGCTAATGAGCTTGAGGACATGGGTAAAAGATGAGTGATCTTCCCCACATCCACACTGATTGAACTGCAGATAGAACCTTATAACTCACATAGAACATTAACATTTCTAAATGCAGACAGAGAAACAACTTCCAGCACTAAATGATTAACTTCATACAACTCTGTTTCTACAAAAACACCAGATAGAGCCTCATAATTCTAAGCCCACAATGTGCATCTACCACTCTTCCTCTACAGAGGCAAAAGTTTCCCCACAGGACATACAATGCTGACAGACTTGTCAAACTCTGAAAGCACTGTTTTGAAGCCAGCAGACATGCGTCCAAAAAAGTCATTTTACCACAAAGCTAAGTAACACGAAATGTCAAAACTTGGGCTGCTAGGCTAAGCTAGCTGGAGGACAAGTCAGTTTGGGCTTGTTAGATTTGGCCTTTGAAGGTCTCGAGTGGAGAGGGTATTTGCAACCTTGAAGACGAGATTAAATAGCACCCCGTAAACGTGGTACAATAATCATAAATCTAAGACGGGACGGGTGACATTAAGAGTATAATTTAGCTGTTTACTTTAAACCACTAATGCACCATTATTAGCTACGTGCCAAAAGCCACAGAGAGAAGCTGTTCTTCACCATCGTGGTGACGTAGACACTCTCCCTCAGTTTAAAATGTGAGAAGGCTTTTCACACTCCGTTCACACAAACGCTACTTAATCCGGAATCATTCTGCTGCAAACATGAAAGAGGTCTTTTTTTTCACAGATTTACTTTGTTGGTTTTTATTGTCAAATAATTCTCTCAAAGTACAGGATCTGGAGGAAGAGAAAAAGAATCGACAAATAATTAGACAGCATGTTGGCAAGACCCAAGTGTGGCATTATTGTGGAGCAGAAACTGTAGGGCTGTGACAGTCTTTTGAAATTCCTGTAGGTCAAAACTTCTACTCGCCAATAAAAAATAGAAACATACATAAAAAGGAGAGTTCTTTTTTCATATAAATCAGAAAACCCCAAATTAGGGACTGATCTACATAAAAATCAAATATAGGAACTGAAACGGCTTTACAGATCACTGAGCTCAGTCAAAGACAGGTTATAAGGTCAACACTGGAGGTAATAAAAAAATAAATTTGTTGAGCTGTAGTTAGACTTTACTGTGATAACTCTGGCAGAAATGTGGAGATTCTGACTGTGAAGGTTTCTTCGGCCATAAAACAGGTTTCTAAAACAGTTGAGGCACAAGAATACATGGGAAGATCACAGCAATGTGAAAAGAAGGACAACATTCGCTTACATTTCTAAACAAATAATCCAAAATCACTATAATAGCATATGACTTGCCCCCTTGCAATAATAAGAAAATAAAAATGAATAAATATATAAACTTTAACATTAAAATCTGTGTATGCTCTCTCTGTTCTTTTTCTTCCCTCTCACTCCTTCTTGTCTCCTGCCAAGCCACAGTCAATATAAAATTACCAAAGCCATGGTGCTGGGGGGGGGGCACTCCACATTTTTTAAACATATGCATTTTTAGCTCCTCTTTTGTTCTGTTATTAAAAGCAGAGATTTGGACCAATAGTGGCAGAGAGCACCACCCAATCAGTGAGCAACATACAGAACGTACCTCTGCACTTCTATCTGTCACGCGAACCACACACACACCAGGACCGTACTGCTGGAACAATGGAAAAGGGGATTACATAGCACTTTGGATTGAACCGTAGCCTTTTTTTATTTCGCTATTAAAAAGAAACCAAATGACTCAAGTGGCGTTGAACAACATGTTAAACTTTCGACCTGCGCTCATGTTTATGCTTATTGGGTGACTATTGCCGATTTTATTTGATAGTATTTAGTTCGTGCAGCCTGTGTGTCTTTTTTCGGCAACAAAATCTCTGTGTCTTTTGCCAAAGACACTGCAGCTGAAGAAGACAATGAAAAACACTTGTGAAGAGACATCACATACACACAAACAAACACATACACACGCCCACACAAACAAACAAACCAAAAAATAAGCCTCTTAACATGATTTGGACACACTTTTTGCGGGCTTGATTTCATGCCTACAAAGGGACAGTTTTTGGCCGAGCACTTCCGTCCATCCGTCATCCATCCAACAGGATGAAATCTGTCGCATCACTGCAGTTTTATAAACTGCAACGTTCTATTAATCTTATTTAACTCTCTTCGTATGCGTCTTTGAGTTCTGGTTCACTGTGTGCAGGTTCGCTGTCGTTCTGGTTCTGCACAGGCATCAGAGAAAGCCAGACGGGTCGGGTCCAAAGATCTGGTCGTATTCGCTGAGGATGAGTTCCACTGCCTGGTTCTGATAGATCATATTAACAGCCATGTTTCCGCAGTCGTTCTGCGGCCGCATCAGAGTTGGCCCGAAGACAATGCCGATGTTTTGCGTTGTCATGCGATTACTGTCTGAATGCTCCATCACTCTGCAAGGGAGAGAAAGAGAGAGTGAGAGAGAGAGAGAGAGCGGGAGAGAGAGAGGGAGAGGGAGAGAGAGAGAGAGAGAGAGAGAGAGAGAGAGAGAGAGAGAGAGACAAAGAGAGTTTGGGTACTTAGCATGTGTGTGAGAGTGCAGCAGGGACACAGGGACAAAGGAATGGGTTAAAGCCGCAGTATGAGGCATTCTTCTAAAAATGCCATTCCCACTTAACCACAGATCCAGCCAGCAATTGCTCAAAACTTCCACATTAAAAAGGAAAGGGGGGAAAAGGAAGAAAGAGAGGAGAGGAACTAGAGAACTAGCAGATGAGAAGAGAGGTTCCAGCGGTGGCGGCGGTGCTGCTGGTGCTCCTTCCAGCGAACACCCTACAGAGATCTCACGAGATACACAGAGAGAATGACAAAGCAAGGAGTGAGTAAGAAAAACAGTGTAGTGAAGCCAGAGCGGAAAGAAATGAGTAGAATGGAGAAAAAAAATAAGGTTTATATAGGCAGCTGCTCTTACATATATAATAAACTTCTTTAAGAGAACAGTGCTGATTTGGGACCGGCTCCCTTGTTCATGTAATCAAATTCATTACCATATTACAGGCAAAAACCTTCATCAGCACTCTAAGATTTGATACATATGGGCCAGTGGAACTATCTATAGCACTCCTTCTATTCAATTATACTCAGTCACTTCAGCCAACTTTCTCCAAAGTGAGCAGTGAGCACACAACGTCTTCTAGTGGCTGAAAATAAAATTACTAGGCAATGAGTTCACTTCTGCAGATAGGAAGACCAAAGCTAAAGCATGTTAAAAGACTGTACATATTTACATAAATGGTAACACTTTAAAATAATGTTTTTTTGACATCTATTGGCTGTTACTTCATAATTGACTAATTCTTTTATCATTAATTAATATATTAACATTATTTTGTAAGACATATAAATCATTACTTGATCATCAAGTAGCTCTAACTTGTCAGGCTGCCTTCGTCTACAATCATTTGCTTCACCTTTTGTTTATAGTGTTTGTTTTTGCCTTAAGTTGAATAAAATCAATCAGCTCACGCCCACATCCTGATCCTGTGGTCTGGTCTTCTGTCACAAATGTAGGTGTAAAGGCAGGATGAAAAGGAGTGTTTACTGAGGCTGTTTATGTACTAATGTCTCCTTTTCTAGTTTATAGGAGCATTTATTGAGGCAGTTTATGGATTAATATATATATTAATAATATATGTGTATAGGAGTATTTACTGAGGTTGTTTATAAACTATTATCTCCTATTGTAGTGTATATTTTTGTTTACTGAGGTTGTTTATGGACTAATATTGTGTACTCTAGTATATATTAGTGTTTATTGAGGTTGTTTCTAGACCAACTGCTCATTTTCTAGGATAAAAAGTTTATAAATGGATTATGGGAATGGGTAAATAGATATTTATATAAACTGTTTTTTTTTACTTTAGACCACAGGCTGCAAAAATGTTGCTGTGAGTTTCCATATAACTTATATAACATTTTTAAGACATGACCAAGAAAATCGCTGCTGTTTGTTAATGTTTACTAAATCATTTGAAAGTCTTAAGGTTTTAGCATTCTTTTGGAGTTTCTTTTTAGATATTTTGCTAATACATTGTATTAGCAGATTATTATTAGTAGTAGTATTTTAATGATAATATATTCAAAATATATAACTGATTATAAAGTAATAGGAAAATGAGACGTATTTTAGTACATGTAGATTGTTACTTTATAAACTAATAAAGATTATATTTCTAGTTAGTATGTGATTTGTTAATTATGAAGTCATTACAATTATAATAAATAATAAATAAAGAAGAAAAATAAGCATACATCTGATAGAAAGTAATGTGAATGCATTAATGATGGATAACTCCAAATACATGATTAGATCTTGATCAGTTAAATACGAAGAGCTAACAGATGTCTTATAAACTATTGTTATTATAAAGTGTTACAAAAAGTTTCTTTATAAAACTTGTTTTTTGTTCTAGTTTTAGATCCCTTGACGTTGCAAATAATTGCTTTACACTGTTAATTAGTAAATAGAGACCAAAGAAGAAATGGTGTTTGCTGCTTGTACAAGGATATGTAACCAGAAGCTGATTCTGCAGCATCACTATGATACTTTCTGCATGCAAGTCATAAGTGAAGAATGCACTCTTACCGCTTAAGGTGGCGGAACATGTGTCTCATGGTGTCGTGGTTGGGGGGCGGCATGTTGATGACTAACAATTTCATCCGGTCCACCTTATCTAAGTAATCAGACATCTCTACAGGACAGATATACATAACTATATTAGATCAACAGTAACAACAGCACAATGGCATAATTATTTTTGTAATAGAATTCTAATATATGTTCTCTGGCCACTTTATTATGTACAATTACATTGTTTCTGTAGTTGTTGTCTATTTTATTAGGCCCTTTAACATATATGTGCACTTTGAAGTTCTACAATTATAGATTGTAGTCCATCTGTTTCTCTGTATACTTTGTTAGCCCCCTTTTACCCTCTTCTTTAATGGTCAGTAAAAGGGGGCTAACAAATCATGCAGAGAAACAGACACAGTCTGTAATTGTAGAACTACAAAGTGCACCTATATGGTAAGTGGAAATGATAATATGGATAATTAGTGAAGACATAAGAAAAAGTGTCCAGTGAGTGTATGTTTCCTAGCTCAATAATTCCAGCTGATATTAGTGAACTATAGGCTTTATGTAGTTATTGATATACTTATTTTGATTATTTCAATAAAAGATATAAAAGAACTATTGTCTCATTCTTGTCTTTTATGTGTTTTAATTCTAGCTGCCTGGAGAAACTACAGTTGTACGCAGAAGTTTCGGTGCCCCTGGTCAAATTACATGTTTTGTTGATTTTCTAAATGAAAATAAGTCACACAATTACTGTTTATTTGTTGAATTTAACATCCTGGGGGGAAAAAAAACATAAGATGTGGCCTGTGAAAAAGTTATGTCACATTTTACCTTTTATGTATTTTAACAGTACATTAAACTCAGCAAATAAATAGGAATTGTGCAATAAATTTGTAGAAAAATGCTATTTGTAAGTTTGTTCCCTATAACATGCTTTCACTCAGAAAAACTACATAATGTGTAACTAGACAGGGGGTGTTCAATGTTTTGCATACAACTGTATATAACAAAAATGTCAATTTTAGTGTCATTGTCCTGTCATGTTATACAACAGTACTCCATCCATCCACCCATCCAACCATCCATCCATCTATCCGTCCATCCAAGTAATCCATTAATGTATGTATTTATCCATCCAGACAGCCACTCGTCTCTCACTCTATCTCTTCCTCTCACTTACTGACAGTTTCGACGATGTCATGGAAGAATCCATAAGGAACCAGGGGTTCGGGGAGCTCTCTAAAGAACAGCTTCAGGGCACCTGTTATCACATGAATGTCTTCCCACTGTGGGTCCTCCAGGTCTATGCGCTCCACTGAGTCACACCCAAGAGGAGGTGAAGGAGGAGGATATTGGGGGCAATGGATAAAAGAGAGCAAAAAGGAATAGAAGGGAAAAGAAGTTGAAGGGGAGTTGTGAGGAGACAAAAAGAGAAATGATCAAAGACATACAAAAAGCAGCATAAAAACATACACTTGCATTCATCGCGGTGCTGAGCTGCTTGACATGAGGCTGCAGAAGAGGAACTGTCAGTGCAGAAGTGAAGGATAAATAAAGAGAGACAGGAGAATGCTGCAGAGCAAAACCAAGGACAAACTGTGGAAATGCAAACAGCAGCTTTTAGCATCTCTAGGTAACTTCCTGCTGTTCACACAAACACACACATGCACGACTGAAGAGTCTTGAAAGTGTCCACTCGCATAACATTTCTTGAGCATTTTAAGTCAAATGCTTAAAAGGTCAATTTAAAGCTGTAAATTTAAATATAAATATTCCAGCTGTCAACAATCCTGAAGACTAGGACTCATTTTACAATTACAATTTTTTGTCCTTGTCACTTAAACACTGAAGACCAAAATCCACTTAAGATGTTTTATGCAAGTGACCAGTGGTTCTGAGTTCCACTCACAAAACTCATAACTTCATTATCAGAGCCCATCATGAATTCCATGCAGTATTTCCTCTGGTCTGCTTTACTGTGGAGCGCAAGCAAAAAAAACAAACAAAAACATCATCAACCAAGCAGTAAAGAGCAGCATAGCAGCATGCATCTCTCAGTCAGCTGCCTGAAATAACATCAGCCACATTGTGTCAGTCACAGAGCCCATGAAGACATAAAGAAGCCATGTGCTTTTAGGACGCAGTTGAAGTTGCCCTTTCTGACTGATCTGAGATCAGGATTAGTGACTCTTATTATAATATTTAAAATACTAGTTTACCTAGTGTTGTGTTGAATCATATCCAGTGGAGATCAGTTAGCTTGGTCTCATTTTTAAAATATTAACTGACCCCTACTAGCTTTAATTCACTATTAGCAGCATTAACATTTTTGAGGGGTGAAATACTCCTTTACCCCTAAAAGTCTGGACTTATTGTCATTTTGTTATATTGTATTTTCAAAAGTACAAAAATCTGAGACCACATTGAAAATATGGATTTTTTTTTCATTTGGAAATAAACAACATAAAATTTAAAAAAAATTAAAACAAAGAAAAGTTATGACAAGTGAAATGAAGAAGAAATATTAAAACGTTCTGCACTATTTCTAGGCAAATATATAGTGGTGGTTTTCCCACAAAACGACTGTTTACATACAATAATAATTATGATATAATATCTTCTCTTCTACTTAAACACAAATGTGGTATGGATTGTAAGTTTCAACACTCTCAACAGAATTTCTCAGCTTGTTTCAATAAGCTGCAAGTGAGAAACAATTTATATACATTTACACTAAGCTTTTTGCTTTTGCTGGCGATAACTGCCACTTCTAAGAATTAACCTTTTAGCTTCTATGGTCATAGATCAGTGCAAAAGGGCAGCTTCCTCCTGGACCACAGGCTGATAGCAAGGCTTTCACTCTTGCTGAGTGGGTGGCTACCTTGCACTAAATCCTCTGGGAAAAGATAGCGTCCATCTGTAGACACCGCTCGCTCTGGAAAAACGGACAGGAGTTACAGCCCGCCCACCAACACCATACACACCAACTCTCCCTCACCCTGTTACATCAGTATCATATCAGATCTTACCTGAGCGTACAGTAGAACAGAGATATTGATGACATTTACAATGATACATTCCATTGACTTCTAATTCACTCTCTCTCTCTTTCTGTCGCCGTCTTACCGTGATTAACAGCGAAGCGAAGTTTCTGGATCACGGCCAAATTCCCACTGACTCTGTAGATGCCATCTGTGTCTAAACCTGACACACACAAAAAACAATTATCTACTGATCTACTATCTACTAGTGTCATGGATATAATAGGTAACATCTAAGCACCTTTCTTCTCCACTGTTTCTGTGCAGTTTCTAACGAACCGTGGCACTGTAGTCTTCTCTCTCTCACACAGCACCTCCAGACTGCAGCCAAACACCTGGTCTGAAATCAACAAGCACACAAACAGCATCATCCACCATGACCTGCACCGCAAATACCTACACTAACTAAGTTAAAAAAAACTGTTGAATCACAATTCAGTTTAGGATCACTAATCTCAATAAAATAAAAAAACACAAATGCTGCAGATAAATGTTTAAATGATTGTATTAAGATGTTACTCTACTTTCAATTAGTTACTAGGAAGCTGAGAAAATAAAAGAAATGTTAACACACTGAGAAAGCTGTTTTAGAGTGTTTCTGCAATTACAGGCACTCTCAGAACCCAGCAATGAATTTTTGGATATGTGTGAACGTTTTTAGCATAACAGAAACAGAATTGGTTGCTAAATGTACGGAGCTAAAGTAATTATATTGAATCAAAATACCAGTTTTGTTCATGCCACACACCTGTGATTGCAATCTTCACATGCATAGAAATTTGCATTCATATGCACAAATTACAAAAATACATCTTGCCAGTTGAAACTGCACTGTTTACATATTAAATCAAAAGATTAATAAATAAACACTGTTGTTGAACAGTTCTTCATGTTGTTTTTTTAAGTATGTCTGTCCAACATTTGTAAGTCTTTACCACAACACTGACCAAATGACCTAAAATAAAGTTTTTTTCAGAGTCAAACAAACCTACTTTTGATAAGTGGGACAAAAGTGTGGGAAACCTAATCTAGGTCTCTCTGGATTTGCAGAAAAGCAAGGTAAATATCACCTTTTCATCTTCAATACTTTCTGCATGTCCTTCCTGTAATGTATATAACTATTATGTTTTAAATTACTCTTTAAAAACATATTTGTATTAAATGTAAATATATTAGAAGCTGTCTACCAAAGCTAAGATATCAGGACATGCTGTTTGCCATTTGCAGTCAAAAACATTGAAAAAGTCTTTACCACAACATGCGCTTACCGCAACATTCAACATGTGCTGTATTCGAGACCTGGTGATCAAATCTCAGGCAAATAATTTCAGAATCAAAAATGACTATGAGTATATACATTAAACAAAATAAAAACAATACTTCTTGATTATTTTTATTTTATAACTTTTTGGTGTTCCCAAAAATGTATTGAATAAACATTGAATAAAACAGTTTAAAATACCTTTAGTATCTAGCTTATAGGATTTTAGTATACAAAATTATTAATATGTCAAATGATTCCAAATTTTTTAACACTTATGTTTATATGGTACACACTATGTACACCATGTATGGGCTGTGTTTTTTCTAGCCCAGAAGCCATTTGTGTAGTTAAACAAATGAGTGTAATTAGACAAATCAAGCAAAAGTGAGCAGCAGTATTTTATGAATATGCAGTGTTAAGACATATGCATGCTGCGTGTGAACAACTGATGTTATCTTTCTGGATGGACCTGGTCTTGGGTACATATACCTGTGGCAGCATTTCTGGCAGGAGTCCTCTGCACTTTTAAAATGAAATGACCACTAGGGGTTGCCAATGGGTGGCCTTACTGAGTTTATGTCACAACACACAGTTTAATCCCACACTGCATTGGAATCTACAGAAAGTCTTTTATACTTTTCTTAAAATATGGTAGAATGTCTTTCTTATATTTCATGTGCCAACATATGTCTTGTTCATCTGCCTTCCTATTTATCCCAAATAATTGAGAACTCGGCGTAGACAAAGCTTGTGGTGGCCTGGCTTTGTTTTAGCTGGCATATATGCAGGTGAGGCTTGCTCACCTTTGATAAGGCCTTTCTCCTGTAGTGCCTGAAGTGGAGGTCTCCTTAGAATGAGCTTCTTCAGACGACTCTTCACTCGCTTCCGCTCCGAATTCTCCAAATTAGAGCAGGAGCGAGGGACTGAACAGAAAAAGAGAAGGAGAGACAGAGAGAGATGTTTAAGCTTAGTGCATGTAAATAATCTCATTAACATGGCTATTTAGGAAGTTTGGCTATTACTATCTTAAAACCAAAAAAAGACAAGATGACAAAAAAAAAATATTTCCATTTGTCCTTGATTTTTCTTAGAGATTAGGATTAGACTTCTCAATCATTAATTTCTGCTAGAATATTTACTAATTGGATGATGTAACTTTGCCAAGGGCTATTGATTACACTAGTAATCAAGTAATTTATAGTTTATTTTGTTTTGATGACTGATTATATATAAATAAATACTATAATATCCACACCATATGTATAAACACACACTACCAACATTTGAAATCACTGTTTTATTTCCTATAAAGCCAGTTTTTTTGCAGATACATGTATAAAACAATTACAGTGTGATGCTAACATTTTAAAGACTCCAACCAACTTGCAGAAAAAAAATGATGATGAAAAAATGATTCCATGCTGTAGATGATTTCATAAAAACTGTAAATTATTGAAAAATTAGAATGAAGCTATTTTAAGCTTAATATGCAGAATGCCTCATATGCGAAAAGCAGTGACCAAATCTCACTGATCAGTTAGCTTTTTATAGTAATTTCATTACAAGATAATTACAGTCTATTGTTCAATAACATTTTCTATTTTCCTATCAAGTCATGACTTTTATTGTTCCCAAAGACTTTAAATTGTGAAGAAACCATCAGTTTACATTTTGGTGTCTAGTCTATAACATTTCCATCTACAACATATAAGTTATCACTGAATAACAATTATTAACATGACATGTGTTTCCAAAATGTGAACGTTAGTGTATGTATGTATAAGTAATATGTGGCAACAAATGCATATACAGTTGATTCAAAAGTTTGAACACCCTCAGTCAAATGGCATGTTCTGTTGATTTTCTAGGTGAAAATAAGTTAAAACTGCAGAATAAACATTTTTCTGCAAACATTAGTGTACAATTTCTATTTATTTGCTGAATTTAACATACTGGAGAAAACATAGGCCACATTTTATTTTATCTTTTTTCCCCATTATGTTAAATTCAACAATCAAACAGTAACTGTGTATTTAAAAGTGCAGAAGTGTGTCTTCTGTGAAGGATGTGTTGTTATTTTTACTTAATGAGCAAAACATGTCATTTGGGTAAATGGGTATGTAAATATGTAAATGAGTATGTAGGTTCTGTTTATTACTATAAGAAACAGCAGTAGGATAATGTAAAATATGCATTATCAGCAAATCACTACAGTTTGGAGAAGGTATATCTTTATATATCTATGATTTTAAGAATTAAAGTGACTAAATGTGACAGTCCAAGCTCCGATCAAGCTCCTCATAACTTGTTTAAAAGGTTCTGAGACTCACGTGAGGCTTTGGATCCTACACGATTCTCATCCTCGTCTCCACTCTGATCCAACATCTCCATGGAGCCTGCTCTCCTCAAGGAATACAGCAAGACGTTATCCAGAGGATTCTCTTCATCCTACAAGACACAAACACGCAAACATCATGCACACAATAATAATAATAATAATACTAATAATAATAATAATATAGCACAAATATATATGGTAAGAACTTACCAATCTGTCAATGACTTTTTGAATAGTGCAGTACCACTCCCTGATCAAAGAGTCTGTCTCTGACTGCAGCAGAAATTCATTGCCTGTAACAGTCCTCAACTACATGCAGAAACACACAGCACATATATGTGTTAGTCTGTTTATAGCTTTCACTGTTCTTTATGGAGGAAGTAAGAGAGGAACTAGTGGTAAAGTCTCCAGTAGTTCTAATACTGCAATGTTTCAAGCTTTGAAATTTAGGTCACTTACGTTTTTAGCAATTCTGCCATTTTACTTTGGTAAAACTTGCTGGTTTTTACCTAGCATCAGGCCTTCTTAAAGGGGACCTTTTTTAATCATTTTTTTTAATTTAGGCATAATTAAAAGGTTAAGAGGTAAACAAAGTCATTCAGATGATCTGATGTAAAGTAATCTGTTACAGAAAAACTTAACAAGTCAGATTTGTTCAGGGCGGTGGTGATAGGAACCAGAGGTTTATTACATGAAATGGTTATGAATACACTGCCTGACGCCTGAGACATTGTTTTATAATAGTTTTGAGACAAGCCTTTGTCTAAAAACATATTTTTTAAAATCCAGAAAGGCAGAAGCCGGGTCTCCTAAGGCAAAACAGTCCTCATATAAAACATTTTAGTCAGGTTTTCCATTATTTTACCATTACCAGCATTACACATAAAAAAAAATCAGAGGACGCATAGAGATTCACTGGTGGTTTTGGATAGTAGATGTCACAGCCACCGGTTTCTATCACCACCACTGTGAAGAAATATGAGTTGGTACGTTTCTCCACAATGAACCCCACTTCACATCAAAACCTTCTGAATCACTTTGTTTACATGTCAATGGTTGATTACACAGGAATTTTGAAAAATCTGCGGAATTCCCCTTTAACCGCAGTCTTCAATGTTACTTGAATGCAAAGTGCTTTCGGTGCTTCTCTCTCTCTCTCTCACCTTGAAGACATTCTTCCTGCTGGAGAGGTCATTGGCCCACTGTAGCTGAGCTCCTCGTAGATCCACACTACTCTCTGGACAACTGTTACCAGGCTTCTACACACACAGAAACACAGATGCACATACAGAACAAACTGAATTTGTGATGCATATAAATGTGTGGCATCATATAAGGAAGTAAAGTGCAGAGTCCAACATATTTTAGCTTTGCCTTAATAATTTTAAAAGCATTTGAGCAAGATTAATCATTTTTATGCAACCAACTTACACATCTTTGCAACAAATTCAAATGTAAACTTTCTAGCACCTACTGTTTATAAACAAGTCAGCCAAAAGTGGCAAGAGTGCAAACATTATACTCAACTCTATGATTATGAGTGTAGCAGATTGAGGGTCTAGTTTAAAAGTAGCTAAAAGTCTGGTAAATTGATGCAAAACGCAATTAATTCAGTAAACTTTTTCTAACTTAAATACACAAAAATAAAAATTAATTAAAATAATTATGATTGGTGAAAGAAGAGCGTGACCAATGTACACAATATAGAACAGCAAATATCAGCAGAATGAAACTGATATATATTTTACTTACATGACATCTATAGTAAGTTTGTGATGACTCTGTGCATAAAAAAACTTTAAAAATTAACTATTTTGAATTTATATGGGAGGAGATGGACTTCCACTCTAACTCATCCCAAAGTTAATGGATGGAGCTTCATCACTCCAGAGAACACAGTTCCACTGCTCAATGCTGGTGGCCTCTGCATTGGGCATGTTTACCTTAGGTTCTAGATGTGCAATTATAAGATATTGCTTTTCTATTAGCAATACTTTTCTATGAAGATTATACAAACTGTGTTTGTGCAGTTGAGTTGAATTCACTAATTAGATGGAGTGTCTGGATATATTTATATCTACGGTTTACAGGAAAAGCCTTTGCTGATAATCATTTCTTACACTGAGCAGTTTTAATTCTTTTCAAATGTCTAAGATTTTATTCATTTAATATGTTCAGGGCTGAAATAAAGCTCTGCAGGATAATCACCAGGAGCGAAACAAACCAAGACCCCGTCAGTTGTATTCTTTTGCTGCAGACATTTTGACAAACCTTTCTCTTCATAGACAATTACTATCCATGATCTCTTAAAAATAAAATGTTCATGTATATTTTTGTAAAGCTAGTGTTGCTTACAAAGCTCTGCCTGTAGTGTAGACGTCAAGGTTTTTAAATGATGCTGAACTGAAGGACCTCTTACCCAGCTGGCAGGACTTTGGGTCTTTGGATCTTTAAAGAACACAAGACTGTTCCCCACCAGCACCACCCAGGACGGGTTCCAGTTTTTCCTGCAGACCACACACACACACACACACACGCACAGAGATATTCTGAAATGAGAGCATGCAGGCGCTAAGTAGTGTGAGAACATGACCCACTAATCAGGTGGTTTACTTTCAGAATTAAGCTGAGCAGCACCATCTGACCCCAAACTATGAATCAACAATTTAATAAACTACCAGTGTTGACAGGGAGTTTAGCAGGGAGTTTTTCCATTCTTTGCAGCAGTAACAGTCTCTACTCTTTTGGGAGTGCTTTACACTAGATTTTGAAACATGGCTGTGAGGATTTGATTGCATTCAGCCACAACAGCATTAGTCAGGTCAGGTACTGATGTTGGATGATTAGTTCTGCATCACAAACGCTCTCCAACTCATTCCAAAGGTATTGAATGGACCTCCATCACTCCAGAGAACACAGTTCCACTGCTCTACAGCCAGATGCTGGGGGTCTTTCTAAGCGTCTAACTGATGCTTGGCACTGGGCGTGGTGACCTCATGTGTAGAGTGTCCCATTCTATTCATCAGTGCTTTTCTATGGAGATTATATAAGCTGTGTGTGTGCAATTAAACACCCGTCTCAGCACCTGCGAGGGTAAAATACAGTTTCCGCTTCTTTATAATCACCGGCAGGTATGACACTGAATGGCCAATCAGTTACATCAACAACTCGATTGCCTAGCAATGATTACATAATCTAGAACCGAAATCTGGATTCAAGTTCTAAAGTTAAAGACATTTACATTACACAAGGAATCTGATGGTTGATAATGCACATGGGCCTCCTCAAAGCTACAGGGATCCTGAAATGAGTTCTAGATACAAAGGGTCAAAGCTGGAAAATCATTTTGCACACTGAACGTTCATGTTGGGTTCCTTGCCATTAGAGCATTCCTATCAGATATTAAAATATATTGTATTAAGATATAAGATATTAATACTAATATTGTGATTATATTGCTAAATATTATGACTTGTTAAAGGGCTCATCTGCATATCACAGCTCTCTGCAAGATCAGTATCAGAAAGGATAATATTCTGATAATGATTAACAAAGATGTATTGCGTAACCCTACGATCCATCTCGCCGTGATAGTGAGAGTGAATTCTGGAGGTTGGTAGGTCTAAGCTCTTTTGTAGTGTCAGAAGGGATCACTGCCTCATACCCATAACTTCAGGGTCAATTAAATTGCTTCACAGTAAAGTAGAGAGATACAATTAATTGTCAGATGTTCCATTATCACATAAGTGAAAAGTTGTTCGTGTGGGGTTTGAGTTTAGGGAACTTTCAATTGCCAGACAAAAAACATCAATGCTGGTTCTTTAAGAAAATGCTCTAATATAAAAAGGAATAAACATGTTTAATACATCCATATCTAGTAGGTAGTCAAACTATGTACAGTCACATGAAAAAGTCTAGGTGTCCCCGGGCAAAACCGGATGATTTGATGATTTTTCGAAGTGAAAATAAATTAACACATTTTCTACACCCTCAGAAAAAAGGTACAAAACCGCCACTGGGGAAGTACACCTTTTGTCACTGGGGTGGTACCCTCAAGGGAACATCTTAGTACCTTTAGTTGGGGAACATAACTGTACCATAATCCACTAAAATTTAATTTTTTAAGTTGTACTGACTCCACACACCCTGTCTCATCTCCAGGCTTTTTATTGTTCTGCTTTAAAACATTAGGTTATGAAAAGGTACAAATATGTACTTTTCACCTGGAAAAATGTATTTAAGGTCCACAACTGGACCTTAAAATCACTGTAGTGCCTTTAAGGGGACATTTATATTGTTTGTACCTTGATGAACAATGTATTTTAGTGCACAGCTGTTGTTTATTTGCTGAATTTAACAGGTCGGGAAAAAATAAAAACCACTAATCTATTGTAGCCCATGCAAAAGTTATGGCATATTTTATATTTAATGTTTTATTTTTTCCGCTATATTAAACTCAGCAAAGGTACAGAAATTGTGTACTAAAATTAGCAGTAAATGTCATGTATGAATGTGTTTCCTGTAGAAAATGTGTTAACTTACTGTCAGTTTGAAAATCAACCAAACATGCAATTTTACCGAAGGTGTTAAACTTTTGCATATGACTGTACTTCCTGTAATCCACCTGTATTTACATACTGTAATACCATCACCACTTTTAGGATCCCAAAATGAGCTTTTTTTAGTCACAATATCAGAAAATCAGAATCAGAAAAAAAAAAATCAAGATAAAGTCAGTAAGCCCTAAATGAGTTTGACTTATTGAAACACATAGCAAAAAGCTCTTATGCTGTCTGATCTAGAAAAAAAAATCAAATTACACACAGCATAAATTTAAAGTCTAGCTTTATCTATGGAAGTCCAGTCCTTCCAGGTAGAGAGGAAATAATCACTGGCGTGTTTTTACTTCTCTGTTTTTGAGACATTTTTTAACTAGGTCAAAAATTAAAAAAGTAAGTAGTTATTATTTTATTTTTTATTAATTATTATTATTTGGGTATGTATATAATAATAATAATAATAATAAAAATAATAAATAATATAATAAATATAAGTCAATATTTTGAGATACTAAGTCATAATCTCCAGAAAATAAGTATTTATTGTGAAATGTCAAAATGTTGAAAAAAAGTATTATTTTAAGATACTAAGACAAAAATCTTTTGAGTGTGCACTTCTCTATGGAAACACTTTCACCACAAACCCACTGTATATTAACCGGCCATAAAATGTCCAGCTGATGTAAACTGTCTAAGCCTCAGAGGAGCTTCTATACATGAAATATGACACTTTGGAGTGGCATCATCTGTCGGACAAAACCTCCACGTTGCTTTATGAACATGGGGCAAAAACACAAAGGCCTAGATGGCCGTGTGTGTGCACACTTGTAAATGCGCGTTAGTGTGCATGTACACGTGTCATTTAAGATAAGCTTACCTCAGCTTCCTGCCTCCTTCTGCTATCTTGGTTTTGTTCAGCAGACCTGCTTTTTCAAGCTCCTGCATTGAGAGTTGGAAGAGTGAATGTTAACATATGTTCAGCAATGATGTGCGGTATGTTAATGTGGGCACAAGATTAGTGTGAGTTTAGCTGCAGTTCTGTGGGAACAGACTTTGGGTAACAGCTACATCAAAAACCTATTGTTTTAGTCTGCATTTTGCAGATTATATTTTTTAGATTACACTGAGCGCAAGATGAGATAACTGTACATAGTGTCTGTAAATCGCTGCTGTCGGAACAAAATGGTTGTATCTCTAAAATGGTAACTTTACAGAAGAAGGAAAAACATACTTTACATTTAATGTAAGTCAATGGAACCAGATTTTTTTACAAGTCGTTTTGGGCCGTTTCTTTTGGTCCATTCATCCATTAAATTTACAGACAATGTAAAGGGCAAGCACTGTAAAATTAAGTCAAAAACTGACAAAAATGGAGATACAAGGTTTTGTTTTCGACAGCAGCAAAATACATAACTCACTGTGCCTTTATACACAATGTATGGTGAATATGTTTTGAAAAAATACTGAAGAATCAAACTAAGTGTGATGCGTCAGAGCACTTATGGTTCATCGGTTGCTCTGGTTACTTTTGGCAGTACTGCATATATGAAACAGGCGTTCAGCAGGCCTGGCCAGACAAGAAGAACGCATAAATGCTGTACTGAGCATTATAAACACACAAGTAGTTATGAAATTGCTTAAGAGACTATCTATAGAATGTGAATAAAGCCACTGTGCTTCAAATTTCTGGAAAGGTTAAGCAAACCATTTTGGCTGCAAGCAGACACACAGTCAAAGTGCTGTGTAGGCTACTCACAAGAAGCAACACTGCCCCGAATAATGCTTTGCACAGCAAGGGAAACACTGAGAAGCAGCCTGGAAATAAGCACTCTTATGCTGCCTCTCTCTTCACATCATAAACAAACCTGATAATTGATGTTTTTCAATATGATTCAATATTCAGAAGTGGAACTGAAATGTATGGCTTTTCAGCCACTCACAGATGGAGCCCTTACAGAACAATGAAGTACATCAGAAGTTATAGCCACATAAGCCTCAAATAAGTTCAAATTCATATAGACCTCACGTTATTGTCTGTGTTTGTGTGTTAGGGCTACATGATAAATCACATTTTTTGTTATTGCGATATGAGTTTCTAAACAATGTTAAGGGTGGCTCAAGTATCCTCATACGTGCATTGCCAAAGCAACATAATTAGATGGACAGAACGCGGCATTAGAAGCCCAACTAGTGCTCTCCTGCATCATTCGGCTAAATGGCCAGTTCCAAACCCTACTTGAACTATTAAACATAATGATTAATCTCACTATCAGTGTTGTGTGTAAAATGCACAGACTATATGTAATTGAAGCAGTAATTGCTACTATCACAACAAATCTGCATCATCATAAGGAGCTTTTAAGGTATTAAATATATATTTATTAGTGTTTGTAGGCCAATATTGAAAAGGCCCTGTTTGTAGCCTGACACAGAGACACAAATAGAAGATGCTGTTCAGGGAATCCTGACTATTATAGATGAAGCACCTCATGGGACTCACATGTCACAGGTTACAAATTCTCTACAAGGGGGCACCATTAGCAGGCAAATAGCTTTTGGTACCTCATTAGACCAGAGCTTCACTTAGGTGACACGGTGACACAGTGCACAAAAATGTGCTTGCACTTCTAATGTAATTATCTGTTAGTATTTCACTTTATTCAAATTCAAATGCAAATTTGTAAATTTAAGCACAAAAAATTTTGAAAACACTAATTTAATTGTGTATGTACAATTGCATTTACTATGGGAGCGGACATTATTAAATGCATAACTCAAATTCAAATGCAAAATGTATATTTGAATCTGCATTTCTGTGCATAATCCTAAGTTAATATGGAAAAGCAAAGTGCTTTTGACATGTGGGACGTGTTTTAAGAGAAAGTGATATACTTGGTGATACTTTGGTGAACCTGGAGCAGTAGTTTAATACAATACAGAGCTAGCAATACCAACCACTGCATGACATTTTAACACTTGCTAACCAGGCAGAGGATAATTCTGTCCAAAGTGATTTTCATGTGGAAGTGATTCTTGACTGATTAGGAGAGTTTGTGGCTGCACAAGCAGTGTTAATGACACTGTCACTGGTGCTCTGATGAATTGTACTACTTCGTCGAAATGTCCTCCTAAAGACAAAGCGGAAGGTAGATTCTTACACAGATTCAATTTCGCCTTAAACGGTACAGGAGTTTTGGTGCCAGAATGTAATGCTGCACCATTTAAGGTGGAACAGGAAAATTTTAACAAAAAGCTGATTTATAGGAAGTCTTGTTAATCGTAGTGCAGATTTATAGGTAGCTCCCTACATAAAACTGTAGGTAGGATATTTTCAGGCAGAAGCTCACAGGACTGCCAGTGGACCTGGATGGCCAGTGATGGACATTCTTACTAAGGAGACATTGGGTCGCTGTGTGTTATTGAAGTGTTTCCCAACCGTGCTCCTGAGGGAACTTAACAACAAGATGATTGTGGTAAACCAGGACCTTTTTATTTGCAATGGTTAAAGCAGTGAAAGCACTAAAATGTGCAGGACAGTGTTGTGACCAGTCACAGCGTCACTGACGGTGGTGTTTGTGCAGCCACAAGCTCTCTTAGTCAGTCAAGAATCACTTCCACATGAAAATCGCTTTGAACAGAATTGACCTCTGCCAGGTCAGCGAGTGTTACAATGTCACTATTGCTAACTCTGTGTTGTATTAAACAAGCATCTAATTCTGCTCCAGTACTGCCAAAGTTTAGCCTCGTCACTTCCTTTTAAAATCTTCACTTAAAAGTCCTGTGGAAGCCTCGCTGACGGTGAAAACGCAATTGCAAACAGGATTGCAAATACATTTTATTTTAGCAGAGTGGAAGCGCGATAATGCGGAAATGCAATTGCAAATGGTCCATTGTTATTCCTTTTATGATATGTCAGAATCAGAGCATTGAGACAATGAAAATGAAATGTCCAAAAGACTTTCCACATTAACAGCCATTATGCACAGAAATGCAAATGAACATACACATTTTGCATTTGAATTTGCATTATGTCTTAAATAATACACACTTACATTGGAAATGCAGTTGTAAACACACAATTTTCAAATTTGCATTTGAATTTGAATAAAATACGAAATGTGTGTGTGTGTGTGTGTGTGTGTGTGTGTGTGTGTGTGTGTGTGTCTCACCGGAGTCATTCCATCACTGTCTGGAGAGCTGTCAGTGGAAGGTGACTCCACCACCACTTGGTACTCTGACTGTTGAAGGACATTAAAAAGGTATTAGTTTGAGACATGAGAAAGGCATTATAATGGTGTGTGTGTGCGCAATATGTGAACTGTGTGTACAGTACGTGAATTAGCCATTAAACGTTTGAACACAATAAGCAGAAAGCTGTTTAGATCTTGTCATTTTGTACCATCTTGTCATGGTAGTCAGTATAGTGTAGGGAGTGACCCTGCTGCTGTCCACATGGTTGGATTTCTCCACCCGGACAAGCGCACTTGTATATAGCACTACATTCACCAAGCTCTGAAACATGATCGTAAGTCGTTCTAAGAGCACCTGTCAAGTGCAATAGCCATATTTTTCTCCACAAAACTGAGGGAACAACTGACAAAAGTAGGGGAAATTGGGAAAAATGCCCCCCTTAAGAACAATGCCCATTACTGTAAAGCTAAAACATATCTCATCTCTAATGAGTTTAGCATGAACAAGATGATGAAGCATAAATCTATACACAGTTTGGGGAAATAAACTAGAACAGCAGTCAATTTTGTTGTTTAGCACAAAAAAGAAAATCTGTTAACAGGGAGGCAAGATACCCCCCCCCCATCTATGGTAAGAATCATCTAGGTTTTATAGAACATGTAAATTATGTCAATCTAGTCTTTCCAATTTTCAAAAAATGTGCTGTTAATGAAAGTACAATGCTAAAAGAATTTTACATTTTAAAATGAAACTGATACCTCTATTAATGATGTCTAATGATTACTAAGATAAACTTGTTGCTTGATTAATAATTAGTCATTGTGACTATCAATTACATTATTATTATTATTATTATTATTATAGCAACAATAACAATAAAAATTCAAAGCAAACAATAGAATTCAACATTTAACTGTTAAGTGTACATGATTATTACACATGACAGACACAAATTCATGTCCTAATTCTAGATAGTGATCACTATAGCTAGCCTATAACACTAATGCTAGCACGTTCAATACACAACGTTGTGTATTTGTTGAGGATAAATTATATTTCTAGGGGTCATTTAAAGGAAAACCAAATATTTTTTTCTCTCAAAACTAATTGTGCTGCTCTCTCCACAATCCCTTTGCTTGTATTTTTCTCACTTAACCCAAAAGTAACTGTGAAAAAACAAAGAAATAAAAATGTAAAAACATTTGACAGGCAGTGTATGTGAGTCTGTGCTTCATATGTACCTTGCCATTTGATGAGATCCTGTCTGTTTGGTTAGGTAAGATCATGGTGTAGGAGTGGCTGATGTGTTCACCGCCCCCAGCCAAGGCGGAGTTTCTGCGCTGTACGTCGATGCTGTTGAAAGAGGCAGAGCTGAGGGCGTCGGATGACGCTGCACGCTGCATGGTCTACAATAGAAAGGGGAATAAGTGATTCAGCTCTACACACCTGTGCTTGTTCCATTATATTTCATCTCAGGTCATTTCAGTTCAGTTCAGTTCAGTTCAGTTAAATGTCCAATATCTGCCCTTCCCTTTCCATTCAGCACAATTAGCAAACTCATTTACTGTAAGCTTGCTCAAAAGCGGCTTATTGGAGAGGCTGAAACCCCAAGTGTGCAGTGTGGCAGTAGAGATCAGCCCACTGAGTGTCCATATGTCCCAGATTACTACTCAGAAAACCCTGAGAATGAAACCCCTGGTTTAGGACCAGACACGCACAGCCTGACGCTGCTGTACCACTGAACCGCTAACAACACTCTCATACTTCACAGGAAGAGAACGTTCAGCTTCGACTTTCATAATTACACATTCAGAATAGTCCCTTCATCAATGCTGTGGAGCTTAAACACTGCTGCTGGATTTCTAGTGAAGCCGGATGACTATTTTCAACGTTTCTAAATAAGCATAATATACAATAACCAAGAGAGCACAAACAGTGTAGAAGTTGATTTGCCTCACCTGACTCAGCTGCCAAGCATTTGCATTCTGGGTACTGTAGGTGAAGTCAGGGGAGAGCTATAAGAGGGAGAGAGGTAGAGAGAGAGAGAGGGAGAGAGAGATAGAGAAAGAGAGAGAGAGAAGGTTTTGAGTATGAAAATCTTCAGGACACAATGACTCACGTACTCGATCACGCAGTGACAGGATGCTGAGGTGGACACTCTCACCACACAGGCATAGCCAAACTGAAACTAACCGTTAAAACACGAGGCAGCATTCTGTACCTTTCTGCTCTACCTAAAAAATACCTAAAGAACTACACAACCTTCTAAAACAGTCTAAATTTTCAACACAGTCACAAACCTACATGATCTCTTCATTAGCTTTCAGCAGGCCAATGCACGACTGTGTTCTATTCTATTTCTACATTCCGCTTCGTTGGCTGTGCCATTCTCTAACTATGTGTTAGTTCCTGCATGTCAGCTGAAATAACAGTCAGAGTCGAGTTTCTTCCTCTTTGGTTAAAACATCACACCCAACTTACAGCAGCAGAACGCCTCAATCTGCCCTCAGATTATAATCAAACAAACTCCAGCTTAATCCAGAGGAGAGTCTGCTACTTCCCAAAGCTCCATTTCTTTCCTTCTCATTCTTTACTACACACATATGAGCGACATACACACATTTTCTAATCTAAACCACAGCCCCTGCCCACTTCGATCACTGTTTTCTTCTTTTTTTCCGTCGTAAAGCTGAACTTCCTCGTTTTTGTTTTTGGAGGAAGGTGGCAAAATCAACTTGTAACATCACTTTCTCTCTCTCACTCACGCTCTTTCTCGCTCTCTCTTCCTTTACAGTACAAGGAAGTAGCATTTCTTATGTTTTCTGACATTTATAATCTCCCTACCTATTACAGTCCATTAACTCCTCAATATTAATGCCAGCAGATCCAGTTTTCCATGTAGTCACTAAATAATAACCCTAAGGATGTGGACATGCATAAATGTTACAACCCTTGTTACATGCACATCAAGTGGGCCTTTTTGGAGTCACTTGAGCAGAACACTGTCAGAAAAAAAGGTACTGTACAGGTCCGTTTTCATCCCACAAGGTACAAATAGTGTGAATGTACCGTCAAAGGTTTAACATCGTCATTTTGGCATTTAATGTTACCTGTTATATTATATAGTATAGCACCTCTCAGCCTCACAGGTTTGATAGAATTTGCAGCTTTGTATCATATTCGTGTTTTGTACATCAGTGTTCTTTCACTACAATACCCAGCATGCATTACGCAACGTCGCACAATCATTGGGATCGACAAATATTCACTGCTAGCTACTGATACAGAAGCTATTAAATACATTTGTGACGCTAGCTAACATCTATTGGTTGCCAAATCTTTTCCTTTGTTAAAGAAATAATTCAGCCAGCCAGCAAAAAAATGTCAAACAGCCCATCCACACGTATCTACAGCAGAGCGCTTGAAATCATTTCAAATTCAAGATACCTTTATGATACATCCTAGTCTTTAAAGCAGAAAACCATCTTTTAGAGACTACAGCATCACAGTAAAAGGCAAGTACAGGCTCAGCAATAAAGGTGTCAAAAAGGGTTCTTTGCGTGATGTCAGAAGAAACACTTTGGTTCCCAAAAGAACCCTTAAATGGATGGCACCATGTCTGTAAATGAGATGTGTGAGCGTGAAGAACCTTATTAAAGTTTAAGGAACACTAAACATAATATAAATGTTCTAGGAAGAACCCTTAAATTGGCATACATTACACAAAGGTTCCTTAAACCTTTAAAAGTTTCTACACACTAACAAATCTAACCAAAAGTGGTTATTTTAGGGCATCACTCGAAGAATCTTTTGAGGCAGCTTTATTTTAAAAGTGTAGGCATGCTTGCAACAAATGCAGCAATGACCAAATCTTTCATTTTGGCTGGAGTGTCTTTTAAGATCCAATTGTGTACCTTTAATTTTTAAAGAGTTTAAAGGCAAACTACACTTACTTTCCCAAAGGAAAAGGCATATTTGTGGCTTTTTAGAACATTTTTTAATATAATGGAATATGGGAAACATAACTAAAGGTACTGAAGACCACCCCACCCCTTAGAGATACCACCACACTGACAAATTTGCACCCTGAAAGTTACAGTTTAGTACCTGAGAGTATACTGAGTATGTGTGTGTGTGTGTGTGTGTGTGTGTGTGTGTGTGTGTCTGCATGTTATGAATATATGAACCTGCTCTGGCCCTCAGCATTAGATCAACAGGCATTAGCCTCTTAGCACTAGCAGGATTAGCTAAACAAAAAAGCCATTTGAGGGAAATAAATAAATAAGTGAAGCTGGAAGGCGTAATCCCCTTTTTAATTTGGCTCTGCCTTCTGCTCTAATCTGCACCATGAGGCAGACCCTCTGTGTGCTCGGGCAATCTGCCACTCCGTGTGTCTGAGTGTGTCTGTGTGAATGGATGAATGAGAGAAGTCTGGCTAGAAAGTAAAGGATTGTCCAGAGATAATGTCATCCAGAAAATGCAGCACAGCTTTGTACTTGTATGTCCTTTTCTGTGTAATAGCTCAATTTCTAATATGACTTAATCTGCTGTTAATCAGCTCAGTACATGCATATAGTGCATTTCACTATTCACACACAAACCCACACACACACACCCACACACAAACACATATTCAGAAAGGGAAGTAGTTAGAGAGCAGCCAGGGACAACCCTACACTTCATCTCTTGGACGTCATTATGAGGATTAAGTGGGCCCAAAGCCATACAGCATTCAGCAAGCACCTGCACAAACAACACTGAGCACAGTCACAATCTTTTTCTCCTGCTCTTCTGAAAGCAGTCTGCCATGTCCGAACACAACTTACAGATCTGTAGTATCGTTCAAAAGTTTGAAGTCAATGTTCTCAACAACATAAAACCAATATACCAATGTTATATACCCAGACAAGGGTATAAAATGGTTCTAATATGTGAGTCCTGTGCAGCTTCACAGGTTTCAACACTCTATGACTGAGGGAGCTGTATAATGCCAAAAATCATGTTATAATAAAACTAATATCCAGAATTCATCCTATTTCAAAAGTGGAAACCAACTCTCAGTATAGACAATTTGAACAAATGAACAATATATATAGATTACAGCATTACAGTTTATTATTTATCATTTTACTATCTTTCACATAGTTCTTAAAATATTGAACTATACTTTTTGGTGAATAGTTTGTATAAGTTACTATTGTATGTAAAATAACAAAAGGCTAATAATATGACATGTGATACCAAATTTTTGAATGGTAGCACGGCTGTGCATAAACAATTTGAGCTCGCAGTGCCAGTGCTACAAAAATTGCAGAATTAGACATTTTTAACTGTGAAAAACAGTAGCAGCATGTAAAAGGTACAGAATTGATTTTCTCCACAATAGTCAGATTCCCCACATGGGGGCAATATCAGTATTCACGTAGCATTTTAGGCATCATTGAGCAGCCAGTTGACACATGACATTACACCACCAAATTAAACAACTTCTGAGCATTCCAGACTTTGCTAGACTGTTTGTTAAAAACCTCTGCATTTATTTTCTAGTGTTTGAATTACCTGATGGACTACAACTACCATAAACAGAACAACCTAACCTGCATCACCGTTCGCAAGACTACACTCAAGGAGACCGTCCATGTTTCAGCCTTAACACTTCTGTAGCAGTTTATGCTTTGTGGTATTTCAGGATATCCTCTGAAGATAGTGTAAGATGCAAAGACAATCGGGCCAATGACCTTGCGTGCAGGGTCACACAAGAAACTGACAAGTAGCGAACATGTAACAGAAGCTTGTAACTCACCAATTAGCATAATGCAAACTGCATGCCTAAATCTTCACAGAATTACCTCTGTGTTAACTGTGTTAAGTTGTTGAAGCTACACTATGTCATTTATTGTTTAAAAATTGAAAGTAGCATTACTGAGTCAGGAGGAAACATGCAAGTCACCCCGTAAAGTAATGTAGTGTATTTACATCACAGGTACAGATTCAAAAAGAAGGTCAAGCTCAATGTTTAGGCCTCAAATCCAAAATCAACATTATTCTGAGGAAGATATGATGATAATAGTACATAATTCACTCACATCCTCAGAAGACATGAGTTCTGACTGCGTTCTCTTTGAAAACTCTTTCAACGCACTTGATTTTATCCGCTTGGTGAAGGGGTCCAAAGCACAGAGTAAGGGGAAAAGTTTGGAAATTCGATTTTTCTCCTAACTACCACTTTAATTGTATACACACAGGGCAGGCACACAGATACATATAGACACAGCCTCATATGCACAGCTGCTTTACCCTGTGCAATGACTTGCTTCCTGAGTTGTGTAGGGGAAGTGACAGGTGGCTGGTGTCCCGGGGGAAAGTCCCAACCTGTGTTGCAGAACCCTGAAAAAGAGAGAGAGAGTGAAAGTGGGAGACATGAGACGGAGAAAGAGGCTGGAGATGTCAAATGGCCTAGTAGTTATTGTGTGAAATAATTTGTGATGAAACTGTAACATGAAATGTTGCAGCCTCACCACCAAGTCTAGAGTTATCATTGTTTGCTTTGCTTTGAAGTCTTAGCTATCATTGTTTTAATATCCATTTGAATTATATTACATTATTTATAATAGCATAATTATTTCAGTAACACCTAACAAATTGCATGTATTACTAATTTTCTAAGTGAAAATTAGTTAATACTTCCTCTACAGAGAACACACTTAATGATACTTTTGATACCTTTGATGCTTTTCTGCAAACCTTACCTGAAAATTTCTAGTTATTTACTTAGTTTAACATATTGCAAAACAATAAATACAAAATATAAAATGTGCCGTAACTTTTGCACAGGCCATATTTTTCCCCCGATATAATAAATTCATAATCAAATCAAACTGACAGTAACTGTGCATCAAAATGTTCAGAAGTGTGTTCTCTGTATAGGCTGTGTATATATGTACTTACCTAAACATTTGCATACAACTGCAATTCATTACATTTAAATTCAGTTTAAATTTGGTATCAACTGGTTAGAGAATACACTTCTGACTTTTTTCCGTTTGTTTCAATGTCAAAAAACAAAATATGATTCTTAACTTCACAAAACAAAACAATATTACAAAATTTTAAATTAAATCATAATTCAATATCAAACATTTTACATGCAAACATTAATGTTATAGCAATTAAAAGTTTAGAATCTGCAGTTGTGATATCATTTTCCACTTGTCAACATAAATTATGTTGTTCTTATTGCTGGCAACAACTTCTTGGTGTTAAACTAAGGTTAGACTTCTGAGGGCAGATGTTTGGTGTGTTGTACTGTGCTTATTATATATGCTTGTCCAGTTGTTACCAAATTAAGGGTCATAAGTGAGCACCTGACTGGTTACCGTGCTTTGGCCATGGTCACTCTGGCGAGCTCGACGTGGTGGCTTCCATGAGCGCTCCCTGGTAACTGTATTAACATAGAAATAGCGGCCGGTGGCGGGGTCTTGGTACTGTTCCCACAGCTGCAGTATCTGTAAGGGCTTCTGACCCGGGAGTGGACAAGGAGGCTCCGCCCACTGTCTGCGCCCCTGCCCCGGCAATGAACTTTGGGAAGAGTAGGCCTGAGAGGAAAGCCGAAGTTAAGAGAGAGAGAAGAACTTTAGTTTATAGCTCTCAAATAATTTTATGTAATTAGCCTCAAACAGACTTTGTGGTTGCTCCCCACTCACAGACAAAACTCTGACATCACGAGATACTACAATTCTACTCTAAATGTAGTCAGCCAAGACATTTGGTGTCTGAAGTTCGCTTCCATCGTTTTGCAGTGGAGGCTAATTAGGCTAATGTAGCTAACAAGGAATAGAAACCAGTTTCATTGTTAGTTACAATCAGTGTTGCAGCTCTAGTGCAAAACTAAGGAAGCAAACTTTCGACACAATTGCTGCGTTTGCCATAAGTTGGAAGTAGGAAGTTCAGAGTTCAGAATTACATCATTTTCAACCTCCACATGTTCAGCTACAAAGTAGGGAAAAAACAATGACACCTCCATGAAAGCGAGTATTATTAGCAACAAGCTATCCAGCTACTGTCACTCAGCAGGAAATCACCTTAGACCCACATGAATTCATGCTGCTCTAAGCTGGTTTACACTGTTTTATGCTGGTCTGGTGCCAGTTTAGCTGGCTATCGAGCACAGGTTAAAACACAACATATGCTGACTGTGCTGTTTGTTCTAGCAGTGCAGTGATGAGTGATGACTTTAAAATCTTCCAAAAACACCAAACTTTGTGGTCAGTGTTATAGATTTAACCAAATAATGTGTCTGTATATTGATTGATCTAAAGTAAGTTCTATTATAATCTCATCTAAAAGCAGGAGAGGTGATACTTTAATAATATTGATGGTGTGAACAGCCACATTAATATGACGTCGTTTGCTCAGGGGTTCAGGGTTGATAATACCTTCCCAACTTTCTGAGTAGGAATTACTAGTTAAGGGAGCATTTTCTTTGGTTTTTCCTTTGGTCAAAGGTTGAAAATTTGGTGTGGTTGAGCAAAGCATAAATATTGTCACTGTCACATAATAACTTTGTATCACAATTTTTGTTTTGTTTTTCACTTTTTGCATAATTTGAAAACTCCAGTTACTCTTTGCATTTTGTTAACATTTAATGATAAATGGACCAACTGAAATGTACGGAGCCCTGCTGGTGACATCCCATATAAATAAAAATAATGCGTGGCCACACCTTATTAACGTGTGGAGACGAGATCCTAATGCGTGGCAACGTGTTAGTAAGGCATGGAAATGAGATAATTAAGTTGTGACCACAACTCAGTAAGCAAGATCATGCCTTACTAAGTCGTGGCCATGCATTAGGATCTCGTTCCCATGCCTTACTATGTTGTGGCCACGCATTATGATCTCATTCCCATACCTTACTAAGTCATGGCCACAATTTAATTATCTTGTTCCCATGCCTTACTAAGTTGTGGCCACGCATTATTATTTTATTTATACAGAATGTCACCAGTGGGGCTCCGCAGAAATGGTCTAAAATTACTTGAAGGAAATATTTCTACATCACAAGTTAAAATTGTTTTCCTTCTTCTATAAAGTTACGAATTTGGAGATACAAGGTTTTGTTTCTACAGCAACAAAATGTCTTTGCCGACTGACCACATTTGCTGGAAGGGGAAAATTTGGTAAATTAGATTTTTAGCCAAACTGTTCTTTTAAGAAGTATGACAGGTTCTGTGAATCACATGTGTTAGTATTACACAGATTTAATAAATATGAGAACATATAACAAACATAGATACTATATGTCAGCAATATGCTGGTCTTTTTAACATATGTTTATAAGTAAGCAAAAAAAAAGTTAAAAGTAAAATTGTCATGTGTTTGTCATGCATTATGTATTTGTGGCTTTGGTTTTCCTGAAGTTAGATTTAGTATCAGGCTTACGCTTAGTATTTTGGTTATGATGAGGTTATACTAAGGGTTAAAGTTAGACATAGGGGTAGACTAATGGTCAGAGTTACATTCAGGCTTTGATTCTTTAATTACACTGCTTGTGAGCCTAAAAGTGTTTATGTGTGTCGAGTGCTGTGAAAAAGTCAGAGACCACCATTCATTTATTTACTTTCCAGTCCAAACAAGCAAACAAGTTTTTCAGCAGATATTTCTGAGGAGATTCGATATAAGATAACCCACTCGCATAAGGAAGGAGAAAGTTAAAGGATAAGAAGTGAAGAAACAGGGGTTTCCAGAACTGGAGCTCAAAAATAATTAAAAGACACAGAGAAAACAGAACTCCTCACAAATGAGGCCTGGTAGACCACCAAACCTGTCCCCATCAGACAAACAGCACTTGAAGCTTTCATCTTTGAGAGAGGGGAGAAAATCAAGCTGCTTCAGATCTGAAAAATCAAACAGGTGTTCCTGTCCATCCTTCCACTGTGAGAAGACAACTTAACACTATGAGTCTGAAAGGATGTGTAGCGGTCAAGAAGCCTCACTGAGAAAAGGACATACAGAACAAAGAAAATCCATCAAAGAAGCTCAACCAGACCTCAACCTCACTGAATGTGTTTGGGATTACTTGGATCATGAGTAGCAGAAAATGCAACTAACTTCTAAGACTGAACTTAAACATCCCTGCAGATTTCTTTGAAAAACCGAAAGCAAGGCCGTGAAAAGAATGAGAGCTGCAATAAAGGCAGCATGAACACAGGAAACACTGAAAGATTTGATATTATATTTAGTTGTTGAGTTTTCTGCATAATTATGTTAATAATTATAATTCATATTTTGTACTTAACGGCAGTTTTGACTAGGTCTTAAACTAACACAGTACTGTATGTTTTGACTATGAACATCACAGTGAGTTTGTATGACTAAGAATAATTGGTCCTAAAAGCAGCTTAAAGTCACAACTGGCAAGTAGAAATTAGTTAAACTTTAAAGACACAGACAGGCAGAAACAGAAGGTACAGGGAGAGACAGACAGACAGACAGACAGAGACAGCTTAAGGCAGAGGGGAGAAACAGAGAAAGAGACAGCCATTAAAGGCTTTCAAAACTGCACACAGGAAAAAATCTGACTCACGAATAATGCAACTTAGACAGAAAAACCCTCACAGAGGAGCTGATGTCACCTCAAGCACTAAAGATAGACTGGAGATAAAAGCACTGACTGAAATGAACTCAGATTTAATCCTTCAGGCACCCTTGGTTTTCACTGCATTTGGGTGTATATGGGTAAAGGACTGGTCCAGGTAGGTCGAGGTGAGTGCATGCAGCCCAAATTGGATTGCATAACTCAGCTCTGGCGATGACCCACAACTTGCCTGCACTAAGTGTAATGCTACAAATTCACCAGCAGATGGCTGTCTGACTGATGTTAAGAGCAACAGGAGACGTTACATTTGATAAAACTGCAAGGTTCCATATGTGGGTCCACACCTCAATTCCTCACAGCCAGAGCTACATAACTTACAGCTTAGTTTTATAGTAGTCACTGAATAAATTGAAATAATAGATATCAAAGGGGAATTCCACCCGTTATTCAAAATTTCAGAGTAATTCAGTCACTGATTAATGTTAAAGTCTTTCATTTTTTATGTAAAATGGTTCGCTGTAGAGAAACTTACAGACTCCCAATACTTTACAGTGGTGGTGATAGGAACCAGGTATCACAATGTCTACAACATAAATACAGCCATTTATTTACTATCCAAAACCACCAGTAAACCTACATGTGCCTTATGAGTTTTATATGTAATGCTGATGATAAAATAGTGACAAAGAGTTTTCTTTGATTTTAAAAAATACATTCAGTCAGACAAACAGCTGTCAAACAATGCCTCAGGCATGTAATAACTTTCTGTGAGCTTTTAGAGGCATTAACCTCTTGATGTTCCTATCACCACCACAGTGAACAATTCTAACTCTGTAAGTTTCTCTGGAATGGAGTATTTCATCAAACTACTCTGATTTACTAGAAATTTTAGAAAAATCTGTGGAAATTCCTTTTAAGAGTAGTAAATGAATAACACGTCTGTGATTTAAGGAACTGAAAGGGCTTCTCTTATTTGTCCTGTGTGTAAGTGCTGTTCATTTTTGTGAATTGTGTGGTTTTACAAGATAGCAAGAGAGCAGGCGTGTTTTATATGAGCTTCCACAATCATACAGCATGGTCTGCCTTCACCTAAAACAGTTTTTCTTTTCAGCCCTTGCAGGCTTTAGATACTTTGTGTACATTTACATTACATTTACATTTGTAGCATTTGGCAGATGCTCTTACCCAGAGCGACTCACAATTTAATCATGTTAGAGATGTAGGTAGCATCAGGAGTCTTGCCAAAGGACTCTTATTGGTACTGTGTGGTGTTCTATCATGTAAATTCTGTCAATTTCACAGTAACCATTCAAGCAACACTGAAAAACTGCCTTATTCAAGGGAAGGTCAGTGTTCAAGGGAGTGGTCAGAGAGTACTGTGCATGGAGCCATGTTGCTGACCTTACTGTATAAAGCAAAGCTGCTTGATCCCACCTCTTCAGTCAGTATATGAATTTTTATATGATTTTTATATTCAGTTTATTACATTTCTTCCAATTATATAAGAAATTCTGGAGCATTTCTATTGGTCCATTCATCATGACATTTTTATACAATGTAAAGGGCAGCTGCTGTGCTAAAATGATGTAGAAAGACATCAATAGAAAAAAATGGATGGCTTTTTTTGGACAGTGAAGAAATGTTCATCTTTTTGTTTATTTCCTTTTTCTGAGTAAGGGCTTTTTGTCTGTTTCCTTTTTTCTCAGAAAGGCCTTCTTGACAGTTACACATCCTTTCAGACCCATAGCGCTGAGTCGTCTTCTCACAGTGGAAGGACAGCCAGAAACACCTGTGGTTTTTTTCAGATCTGAAGCAGCTTGATTTTCTCTTCTCTCTCAAAGATGAAAGCTTTAAGTGCTGTTTAACTGATGGAGACAGTTTTGATGGTCTACCAGGTCTTACATGGTTGTTATGAGTCCCATTTTCTCCTTCAAAAATCCTTTATTTTTTACTTATATTCCTTTATCTCCCCCTTCCTTATCTAAGTGGAACATCTTATATACAGTCTCCTCTGAAATATCTCCTAAAAATGAATACCATGCGCTTAATGGCTGCTTTGAGTGGAAATTAAATAAACAAAGGATGGGCTCTGACTTTCTAACAGTACTGTAGTTTACAATCTGCTCTTATGTACTGTAGAAACCTCCAAACTTCATTTTTAAAGCATGCTTTTATAGTGAGTTTCAGTATGCATAGTTATCGGCTGGAGATCCGTTACTGACGATGTCACTTCCTATGCCGTTCTAGAGGGGAAACAGTTGTGGTTTAAATGAATTTTTTCCACTGTTGTCATCTCTGTTCTTTGTGTGTGGGAATGTATGTCAGTACGTGTTTGTGTGTGCTTTTACCTCCGCTGTCCAAAACACACACAGACACATAAACACTTCCAACTAACAGAACGATCGTCTTGACCTGTACACTGACGTCATTTATGACAACAGCTCATTCATGTACTGTTCACGTACATCAGTTATGAACGCAGTTTTTGAGTGATCACCTCTCTGAGACAGAAATGAAAGCAATTCCCACCAGGAATTTTAAAAGAGATGTCACTCTAAGCTATATGGGCATGTTTGTGTGTTTGGTTTGCTGGCCGATAATGCCAGTATAAGCTGCCTGCTTCTGTAGCCAGAGTTGGCACAGACTGGCATATCAGTGGGCACATCAGTGTGTCCATCAGCAGAGTGGAAGTCTGAGGCCGTGTGCTGGAACAGCTCAGAGAGCAGAGCTATTTCTGTCTGACTGCAACTGCTTCAAGATTTTAGCAAGGAGTATTTATGGGTCTGTATAAAGAGTTCATTAAAAATAGAGGGTGCATAAAAAAAATCAGGGGCTCAGGGTGTGACCAAAGCTCCAGCTGACATGCTTATGTATCCGAGTGTGTGCTAGTTTTCACAAACTTCCAGGACAAAAAGGTCCTGATTTTGTAAGAAAAGCAGAGAGAAACAAGGCTTAACCTACAGGCCAAAAAAATTAAAAATGTTCCTCATTTTGTAAGGTGCTTATTTCAAAAGATCCATTTAAACAGAAAAAAATTACATATACATATTGAAGTTAAGATAAGGGTTAGATTTAGGACGGGGATAAAAACATTTTATGCTTTTTTCCCCAAATATGTTAAATTGCACAAATAAGGGACTGTCTACAAAGTGCATAATGTAGATGGCTTTCTGTTTAGCTAAAAGAGGGCAAAATCACATTAAATCACATAAACAGAGTGGCTGGAACCTGTAACAGGCTAAAAGGAACACACTCTCTTTACTACTAGTACTTTGACGTGATTTTGCCTTCCTTTAGCTAAACACATGGAAAATATGTTATATAGTGTTCAGACAGTCTCTTAATGACTAAAGTGTCGCTAATATGCATTTCTGAAATACTATGTTCAGCGATATTTAAAGACATAGTTTGCTCTCTGTCCTTCAGGAACGAGAAAGTGTAGGTTTGATTATTTTTGGACTTTATTCAATGAGAAATCGAGGAGAGAACGTTGAATGCCCAACAAATCTGTAATGCCTAAGGATGCGACTCAGAAAACCTGATTTTTAAGCACATTTCATTTAATATTTGGGGTTTATTTGTTTTACTTTTTTATTTATTTTTATTTTCATTTATTACTTTTATATTTATCTGGAATTTTGTCATTTCAATTCTTCATGAAGTTTTCACACAAGGCAAAGGCTAACTGGATTTTTCAAATTATGCCAAAAAAATGAAACAAACATGCAGATACAAGGTTTTTGGCCAACAGTAGGTCATATTAATATTACTTATTCTATTGGTTACGGCTTTGATTTTAACTTTGTCAGTTAACGATGTTTATAATACATATGGGTCACATTAATTACTTACACATATATGTAATACATAGGGACATGTTATTTATGTAGGTACTTACATATATATAATATGTACAGGACCTATGTACGACCCCATGCCATCCTAACCTCTGTGTGTGTGAGTGTGTGTGTGTGTGTGTGTGTGTGTGTGTGTGAACGTTATGGAGATTGCTTGGTGAGGATGAAGAGCTTTTGAGTATGTGTGTGTGTGTGTGTTATGTAAACTGTGGTGGGAAATGAGGAGCTTGTGACCTGAATGTAGCTGTAATCCCTGATTACTCAGCTTAGAGACATGAGTGCACGAGCTAGAATGAGAGGAAGAGAGAGAGAAACGGAAGGATGAAGAAAAGGAAAGAGATTGAGTGAGCGTGGATGGCTCAATGAGATGAGTCAATATCAACCCGATAATTACAGCGCAGTCCTGCGGCAGTGATCTATTATTTTCATCAATGTTTGTATGAGTGTACACATACAAACTGAGCAAACGCCTTAAGTCACCTGAGAAAATCATATTTAAAGCTATTTTTCTGCACAGTAAGCATTTATTTGCTAACATCAGAATGAATACAAATAAGCATCAATCCAATACATTGTGGTTTTATGTATGTCAGGGCGTCAGCTGGTGTGCTTGTGAACTGAATAAATCAATTACTTTCTGAACAAAACAAATCTTGTTATTTTTACTGTATTAATATGAAGTGGTTTATGTTAAAAACTAATTAACATAATTTTTCCACTACCCCAGACACAGTTGGTCTGCCAAAACATGTTTGATATTTGAAGAAGACAAAGTTCATCTTATGAGCTATGAGGGTAATATGCTAGGGGTCCGTCACCCAAATAGATTTTGGGTTGCATAGAATACTATAGCTTGTTAGCTACACCAGCTCATGTGCTATACAAACAGACAGACATCAAATTTGTCTTTGCTGACTAATTACATTTGGGGTGATGGGAAAATTATGTAACTTTTTTTAGTGAACCACTCATTTAAGCTTTTAACTCAGACACAAAAAAGGGTATTTCTGTCACAAACTACTATTTCTGCAAGACTACTCTTCCAGGAATGCTGTGCATTAGATGTTGGAACACTGCTGTGAAGATTTGTGAAGTCAGGTACTGATGTTGGTTGATTAGTTCTGGATCACAAATGTCACTCCAACTCAAAGGTAATGGATAGAGCTGCTTCACTGCTTCACTGGTGTGCAGCTGCTCCAGAGTGTTCCATTCTATTGGTAATGCTTTTCTACGAGGATTGTACAAACTGTTTTCACCCTAAAGCAGCTGAATTCACTACTTAGAAGGGGTGACTAGATACTATTGGTCATAGAAGGTGCTTTGCACTTCAAATCACATTTTATTATCACTGCCATGAAATAAATCAATAACAAGCTCCTGATCTGAAATGCTTTCTGAACAAAAAAGGCAGCATGGAGCTTCTTTTATGTACTGATAGAAAACATAAGAGCACACAGAAAGCTCTAATTCCAAGTGCTGAAACATTTTACTATATAACTACTCAGATTTTTAAGGTTATATTGCCAGTCTCAAAAATAGTTTTAAGCAAACTTCTTGTGTGGCCTAAGACTTTTGAAAAATATATGAACTGTATGTATGTGTCCAATATGTATGTGTAGTGTATGTCTGTTACCTGGATGTGTCCGTCAGTGTGCCGTCGGGCACTGGCTGCCACGTCCCACTGGCTGTAGGACTTGGTAGGGCTAGTTGGGCCTGGCCTGCTGCCACGGGCTTCCTCATACGGGTTCTGGGGTAGGTTGTTGGAGCTCTGGCTGCGTGGAATCAGGCCACCTGAACCCAGCGGCCCGCCGGGGATCGTGAGGTGACTTGGTGCGGTGGAGGAGGAGGAGAGGGGTAGCGTGGGGAAATGACCTCCTGCTGAGCTTCGTCCTACACGCGCATTTGTGAAGGCACTGTTGCTGTTCAGGTCTTCCATTGAACGACAGAATGCTTTAGAGGGCCCTGCCAGGGGAAAGAGGAGAGAAAACGAGTTGGAACAGACTTCAGTAATGCATCTCAGTTGTCGAGACCATTAACTTTTAGAGGTTGCAATTATCGCTGGTGATAAGAACAGTATGTTGAACCACCTTTGTGTTTGTAGGTAGAGAAGTAGTGACCATTTAAGGGGTTAACAGACAAAACAAAAAAGTGGAGTGAATTGTAATTGATTTCAATCACCAAAAATATATGGCTGAGCCAAAACAATTCACTCTGTGAGCTCACAATTTTCCATTCTTTGCATATTCATGTGTTGGACTTAGTTCTAAGGCAGGTATCTGAACTTGTTTCAGTGAAAGCAACGGGACTGGAATAGAAATTATTATAATAAAAGTTAATCTTATTTGTCTTATCTTATTATACTAATTTTTGGTCTTATTTATTTTCTTTGCTGTACTTTCACTAACAAATTTATATTCGCTCTTTTCAATTGCTTGTTGTTTTGTAATATGCTTGGCTACATTATAAATGAGGGTCATGGAGTTTTATGTAGAGCTTGGTTGATTGATTAAAATAAACATTCTTGTCCTCAAAAAAGAAAAGATTTCTTTATTTTTAGTCTGTATTCAGTCAGGCAAACACAAAAACATTTTTTGGCATCAATAAAGGCATTAAGATACCAGGACAGAGTACAGACGGCAGGCAAAGACATTGAGAGTTCATGAAAGTTCCCCTGCAAAATCAGCATTACACATCAGTGATTACAAATTACTTAGGAAACACTTATAAGTCACTGATGACAAGATATTTCTCAGAATAATATAACAGTAATGTAGACAAAGACCAACACACAGTTTAATCTACAATACCAAAAGGAAGGCCAATACTACTATTATGTATTTTTGAGCCACAAGGGTTTTCACAAAGTAGGGTGTCTCAAGAATGGTACCTAACATCTCATTCATGATAGATTCAAAGATTTGTCTTAGTCCCTTTTAACTCATTACAATCTGTCCCCCTAGCAGGGGATAAACTGGGATTTCAGAGGTGGGGGGCCCTATTTTTACTAGGGGTGTCAACAGTGTGGGAAGGTAATATTGTTGAGCTTGTGTGGTATTATACTGAGTTCTCAGCACTGACATCATGAGATTGTAATTAATACTAATTAAAACTAATAAAAACGAATCTCTTTCTGTCTTAAGGGCTTAATAAAGTCAATTACTGTACTTTGTTTCAAGTGTTTCTTGTTTGTCTGTTTTGGCATCAAAATAGAAGGATCAAAATATCGTCTGATTCTTTTCTGACAAAGATGAAAGTCACACTAAACCCCTAAACTATTCCAAATAATGATGCCACCCAACTGACATCAAAACACGTCTTGTCCTTTTTAACAATATGCTTGTAGCAGCTGCCTGCAGTTATCTACTGTTTTGAAGAGACCTCTGTGCAACACTTTACTGCCAAGTGTTCACTGCCGTCCAATCAGATTTGGAAATGCTTCTCTACTGAAATCCCCAGCCTTCCTGCCTAACACCAATTTAACACTGAATTGACAGAAATGATTAGCAATATTAATGAGCAAACACTATTAGCTTGCCAACTACATTCAAATGTGAGCCTTGGAGTCCAACAGTCAGTCGGCAAGACACTATAGTAAACATCATAGGTATGCGAGGCTGTCAAATGTAGTAAAAACATATTTACATGGTGCAGACCTACTTGATGAATAAATGATAGTGTGAATCACTGTTAGCTTAGTGGTAACATAGTATTAGAATCTTATAGAAGCGCTAAACTGAAGGCCTAACTAACCGTCATCATTCCCCACTGCCTTTTCCATTACTGACAGTCCTCACTTTGGGCTTCAGTTATCCAGTTAATTAAGTAATCCTGCTTTGTAAAGTAGTAAGTAGACTAACACACTAACAAACTAACACACTTGGTGTTATCACTCACAGAACACACTCATTACACATACACACATGCACTATACCTGAGCACTGTGTCTGTGAGCATGGTGTGTACGACCCTCGTGCCACCAGCCTGCGAGGAGAGGCTGTTGACTGGCTGCTGGGCTGTGGCGTATGTAGCGTGGAGATTGGCAGCTCGATGACGTACGTGGCGGGAACGTACAGCGGCTTGCTCTTCATGCTCACTCCGAGCCGCCGTGCCTGCCACCAGTCAGCGTTGGTTTTCCTCAGCAGGAGAAAGCGTTCGCCCTCCTGTATGGAGACCACCCGCCCATCCGCCCCACGGTACGAATAGTCATACTGAGCCTCCAGGACCACCGTGCCGCCCGAGACTGACCCCCTGCCTATTGGGAGGCTGCAGGTAGGCCCTGCCGTGTTCCGCCGCCAGCTGCCCGACAGCATGACTCTCAATGGCAGCAGGTGGAGGGGGTGTTGCCACAGCAGTAGCTGGCACTACAGGGTTGGGGCTGGAGATGGGGCACCGCCCACTGTGCCATGCTCTGAAACACAGAGTAGAAAGAGATGTTAGCACATGCCAGTGAATTCACAGGCACGCACAAACACACATACTGGACAATTATTCTGTGTGCAACAGTCCAATCTATCACACATGCTAATGATGCTACTTCACAATCTTCAGGTCATCTATCACTACTCTTAAATGGGAGTTCCATATATTTTTTTCAGATTTCTGTATAATTCATTGGTTGAGATGTAAACAATCTCAGTCAGAGTGGTTTGGGATAAAGTGGTTAATTGTAGAGAAACTTATTGACTCAGATTTCTTTACAATGGTGGTGACAGGATCCAGGGGTCACAATGTAAAATATAGCCATTTTATTTACTACCCAAAACAAATAGTGAATCTACACATGCCAGCTGAGGTTTTATAAGGAATGTTAATATCTCTCAAATCTAAAGAAAAAAAAATTTTTTTTGCCTTACAACACCCTTCATATATGTCTCTGCCACAAATGGATTTTTAAAATATGATTTAGGTAAAAACCTTGTTTCAACAATGTAAACAATACCTCAGACATCAGGCAGCATATCTGTAACCATTTCATACAATAATTTTACGCTAATTTAATTGAACTTTTAGGGGCATTAAACACTTCAGCCGTGTGGTTCATACAAAAACAGCCAGAGTACCTTTCGCTTTGGTGCACTTAGAGAGCAGCAGTGAATGATATTTGTTCATTTGAGCGCGTGCTGTGTCTGTTATCAGTCGAAAACTTCTAAATATCCACAACTAGAACGTAAGATAGATAGCTAATCAGCCACTTCAGCCACTTTAGGTATATACTTCTATAGTCGCATAGAACGAACAAAGAAAGACAAGTAAGTTGTTAGTTGCAGTTATCTACATGACAGTTAATCGTGACAGTCATAGCCTATCCACAAAATGCTCATAATATAACGCATTTTATAAAGGTCAGGCTGGATGACATCATGTTTTCTCTTTCTTTTTGAGTGCTGTCTGCGAAGAACTTTAGTAACAGATGCTGTGGAGAAAGTGAGAGGTACCAAAACAGAGAGAGGAAGACAAACAGGTAGACCTATGTGGTAACATTACATAAGTGCTACACTTTGTACTTCCTATTTAAAAGAACATACAGCCCCTTTTGTAACAAAACTCAATACATTTTTATGTAGTATTCAAGTGTGCTACAATTTCAAAAGCTAAAAAAAAAGAAGAACAGTTACTATAATACTACAGTTGCTACTTTTTACTGCAGGTTCAGGAATTATGAAGGCTGCTCTTACACTTCAGGACTTTTACTTTAACACTTCAGTACTGTTTGTTTGTTTTTTTGATGGACTGTTCAGCAGGGTTACCTAGAAGAGTCAATGGCCCTAACTGACTGACTGACTGAATGACTGAGAGCAATGTCAGAGATCTATAACAGATCTATATCAAATCTATATCAAAAATGACAAAAACTGCATTAAAAATCTGGACCATATCACATTGTTTTGGGACATTTGAAGTGTTTCAGTAACCCAATACCATGAAGTGTTACCCCAATAATGACAGATGGGTAAGGGTGAGTACTTCTACCTTAACATCTGCCTTTGTTACATTATCAGTCAACCACTTTTTCAAATACCATCCAGCAAAATTTGAAAGCGGAGTCCTCAAACACTGATGTATTTGCTACTTTAGATTTAATTAATTACACTGCGGTAGCACGTCTTTTAGAAAGGTAACGGCACCAGACACACTGATCTAATGGAAAGCTGAATCTACCGACTAAATGTCACATACCATCTAGTGAAGGCACACCAAACCTCACACGAAAGTTTGTTTTTTTCTCCTCTCTTAAATCAGGCATATTTGCACCAACATCAACAGACGCCAACAGTCTCAAAATGTCACATTTGACAGTGTGTCAGTCTATCACTATTCTGAGAGAGCGAGACAGAGAAAGAAAGAGAGACAGAGAGATGGATATTTGAGCACGAATATATAAAAGGGAGAGAGAGAATAGAATAGGACTTCATAACAGATGACATTCAACAAGGTTTTTCAAAAACAGTGGAACATATAAAGTGCCAAAGTTTCTCTTATCTCCAATGAGACATAGTCTGGAGGGGTGTAACAATACACAAACTTCATAATGCAATAAATATTGAGGTTTTGTCCCAAAATATGATAATATGATTTTCATTACAGGAGTAAAAAGTGCCAATGTTCATTTTGCTTTTATTTTTTTTTTAACAAATATTTTTTGGGCAATTGCCAAAGTAAGACTGCAGCAACAGTCAGTAGATTTAAATCCACACAAAGTAATGGTGCAGAGCAGAGGTGCTACTTTTTTTTGTGCATATACAAACAATAATGTTTTTTTTTGGATATACGAACAATAATGCCAGCTTGAATAATTAAACATGAAGCTGAATAAATTGATATAAATTGATATTAAACTGATTTTTATTAACATTTTCCAATTTAAGTGAACAAATTCTCATTACCACAACACTGTTAAGGCTAAGATCTGAAGATTAATCATAATTACTTTTAACTTTTCTTTTCAAATCTGTATACAGTTGTTGGACTAAATCAAATTTTTAAAGTATAGTATTTTGCAATTCTATCTCACTACCCCCACACACTAACAGCTGATAGTGTTTTCTTTCCACTTGTGCCACGAAACATTTTGTTGTTTTGGTGCACTTCCATACACTGTACAAGGGAAAAACTAAAGTAAACAACTAAAGTAAACAAACACATTTTCTAATGAAAAAAGTGAAAAAATGATATTTGTAATGAGAAATAGATGTGGGTGCAGTGCAGTGGTGAGAATTGGTGTTAAAATTGCCCAAAAAAACTTTAAATCTGACAAATTAGAGTCAGATCTTTTTATAATACAGCAAAAGGTTTATGTAATCCATAAAACGTTTGCTGTATCCTAACGAGATCTGACTGATCTCCTAAATGATATGAACATCTGATATGAATATAAATCATATGAATAATCTGCGTAAACACCCAAATATATTTCTTACTTTTTTTAACAGCTCCCTACAATTGATTTGAAATCTAAATGGTGCCAGTCTAGAATATTAGAAACATATTACAATCATAAACTGCTCTGTAACCAACATGGCTTTATATTATTGACAACTGAGCAGGGAGGCTGATGTCAGAGCAGCTTGGTATAGCAAGAGTAAATAAAAACCACAGGCCTGCGTGTGTGTATCTGTTTGCCTTTGAGAGTGTGTGTGTATGGAGCTTGGGTGGGGGAGCTTTGAAAATCCTCACTGCAGAGCGGTGTGGTTGAGCGAAGCTTGGTTTGGTTTAAGTTAAAACCCTCCCTATCAGCATATGGAGCACACGTGCAGTCCCATTACACTCACCGACACACACACACAGACACGTGCACACACACGCACACGTACACACACACACACAACACACAGACGCAACGGATTTTTGGCAGATGTCTACTCCACTGAGGTAGCATTTGTACTTGGATTAGCCTCTTTTAACCTCTTTCTGTAGGCACCCTGGTGTCCATTCTGCTGGTGGAATAGAGATCAACTTGGATATGTTTAATTAATATAATCAAATAAAATATTTTTCGTAACTGGGACACTGCTGGCTGTCTGCATGTGGAATATTGTGACTCTGTGTTGAGCTGCTAGTGAGCAATGCGTTGTGAAAGGGGATGAGTGAGAACCCCCTGCTGCGAAAATAATTCACTCCTCTCTGCAAAGACGGCCGAGCTGAGATAAAATGGACAGTACACCTGCAGCATTCTTTATATCAGAAAAATCACATGCAGCCACAATAAAACAAAAACAGTAATTAAACACAGTAAAAACACATAAATATTAGCTTGCTTGCCAAGCTATAAAGATGAAAATCCAATTCCAATTTCGCATCATGAAAATATATCCCATCATTATCGAAGAAAAAACAACGCATAAAAATACGAAATCAACTGAGCGGCCTCCTCCATAACAGGTCATAACAGGTATTTATGGCTACTGTGAACAAGCGTAAAGGCCAGTGAGCTTATGTGTGTAGGCCTGTCTGTGTTTCTATGTGTGGCCTTTCTGCACTGACCTAACCAAAGATACACCAGAGATAATAGTATCATCTTAAAAAATCTGACCACGTCTTGATACTTCTGCTTCTTGGAGCCCGCCTAGTGCACACAACATTTCTGTCTCTACAGGAAGTAGAGAGGTTCAGTGAGGACAGGCGGAGAAAACAGGAAACCGCACGTTTAACATCACTAAAAGTCCAACAGACAGAGGCCTGGTCTCTGCTGCTTTTCCCAAACACGGTCAGATGGCAGATGGCAATTAGTCTGTCAGTTCAGTTTGATTTAGTTCAATTCAATACAAGATTTTTTGAATCTTTTTGTTAGTGTTGGGAAAACATACTTGCTGTCCACTGATGTGAAGAGGCTGCGCAATGTCATGCGCAAACATCACTGAATAGTGTCAAAAACAACCAGGGGCCACAGTGCACCCAGTTCCATTATTTTAAAACATAAATGTTCTCCATTTTTGTCTATTTCTATTTTTCTATAATATCAGCAGCTGCCCTTTATGTTGTGTGAAAATTTCACGATGACTGGATCAATCGCAGTTGTTCATAATAAAATCTCTTTATTTTACCTTGCATTAGTAAGTAAAACATTTTTGCCTTCTCCTGTAAAATTACCAATTTGGAGAAACTTGTTTTCTTTGACGATGAAAATATGCCTTCAAAACAACAATCATAACAAAACATGGCGCAATAATTTGGCTCTGTCTTCTCAGTCACCTCCTTAACAAGATGTCTTTGGCAACATGCTCACGTTCAGGCACTCATGGAGTAGCAAAGTATAACATAACATACTTAAACATGAGCAAACCGCCATGTTTCAGTGAAATGTTAGCCTGTATATTTTCACTGCCTTCCCCTCATGAAGCATAACTAATCCCCAGAAAGTGATTTCAGTATTAAAAACTGGCATTTAGAACAGTTAACAGAGTACTTGAG